ATAGATCATAAGAGTAGAATGTGTATAGCTTATAATTTAATACAGGAAACATGTACTAACCTTCGTCAAGACTTGATGGATAATCATAACGCTAATCGGGACCCAGAAAAGGAGTACTCCCCAGAGCAACAGGTATTCATCAGGAACCCTCTTGCAACCAGACAGAAACTAGCCCCTCGTTACTTACATGATAAAGTCATGGCAGACTTGCCAATTCACATTTACACTAAGAAAAGACAAGGGCCAGTAGCTAAGTCTAGGTTAAAGAGAGTGCCTAAAACTGCTCAATTGTTGCAGGACCCTCGTGATATTTCTCCTTCTACCTCTGCAGCCCAGCATGAGCCAGGAGATAAAACTTGAAAGCCTCGATGACGGTCCTGGCATCTTACCCTTCAAATTAGGCCCCTCAAGAATTATATCGCATTACCATTCATTCTTACAACCCCTAAACCTTCAAGAAATGCAATTGCAAATCATTTCTGTAAGGAAACAAATAGATAGTATCAATCCTGAACTTAATAATAAAACACGTTCTTTATTTGAACCTCATCTAAATTACTTAAAATCTAAAGTTATAAGTGTTTCAGAACATCTAAAAACTTTTGCAATAACAAGAATGAAAAGAGGACTAATAGACGGCCTGGGCTCAGTAGTTAAAAGTATTAGTGGCAATCTTGACTATACGGATGCTGCACGCTATAATGAAGCTATAAAAGTACTTCAAAGTTCAGATAACGCTTTAACTACTGAACTGAACCAACATATCAGTCTTTCTAAAGAGTGGATGTCCCGTTACTCTAAAATAATAGAAAGTATCGTAGATAACCAAGACAAAATTAGGCAATTATTAGAAAAAATCAATAATAGCGTAGCTACGAATGACAATGACCTTATTAAGTACGCTCATTTGGCCCAGGTATTCTTAATATTAGGTGATAACGTAGATCAAGTCTCCCAGGAAGTATCTAAGTTGGAAAATATATGAGCATTTATAAAAACCGCAACAATGCACCATTCTATCTTAAAACTAAATTCTTTATATTCCATATTAGACAAACTTCGAACGTTATACAGTACTGATAAAATCTTAGAACTAAACATTAGAGAATATTTCGATATAATAAAAGTAGGATCATACTATCTAGGCAATGACATAATTATAGTATATAAATTCCCTATTGTTTTACCCCAAACTTTCGATATATATAAATTATCTATTATTACCAATAAAAATAACAGCATCCTTCCACCGCCCTCTCCTTTCCTGGCAATATACAAGGAAGAATTCAGGTACATAGAGGCTGAATGCCCGAAGACCAGCAAATGGTACATCTGTAACGAAAACCGGAGTCTGCAAAGTCGAGCAAAACAAGACTGCATCCATCAGCTGATAACAACGCAGCAGGGATCCACAGGATGTAAACCAGTTACTGTCTCCCTGGAAACCTCAGCCTTTGAAGAATTGGACGAAATGCACTACTCCGCCAGCTTTCCCAAACCAACAAGAGCACACCTTTCTTGCGGACAGCATCTATCTAAAATACTACAAGGGAGCTATCTTATATCTGTACCACAAAACTGTTACGTAGAAACCCCAGATTTCCGGATATCAAAGACTAAGAATCAAGTGAAGGGACAGGCATTGAAGATAATGGACCTACCAGTTCAAGACTCAAGCGTCCAGACGCCAGCATCTACACCGTTCAAGCTGAAGTCTATTCATCTCAATCATCTGCATGAAGTCAATACAAGGATTGCGATGCAACAACCCCTAAGATTGAACACGGAAATTGATTATAGCGTATACCACACTACGATCCCTATGTACATTATAATACTGAGTGCGGTCGCACTCGGGGCGTTCCTGGCCTACCGGAAATACAGCACACGTCAAACAACGAAGACTCAAAACGGAAGTGACGAAGATCGTACGGAACAACCAACAATCTATAGTGAAGTTCCTGCAAGGAAAAGAACTGGTCCAGCGCAGCTTCCAGCTCAATTCACCACTAAGGTTTCTCTCGCTGATCTACGGGGGGAGGTGTTACGCGAAGCGCCTCTATGAAGAATGCTTAGCTTGCGCCGACCTCGATTCCCACGAACATTCGACAGGCACGTGTAGCTGACGCAGCAGTGAGCATCGGCGACTGCGTTTTACACAATACAGGAAACGGGCATTCTGATACCTAACATCGGTCAGACTCGTCCAGTTAGTAATAATTAATATTGTAATTCAATAAATTGTATCTTTTATTAAAATAAATTGATTTTTTTTGGACTTTCGGTTGCGACCACGCTTAATTAGAGTACCTCAGACCTTAGTTACTTATATTTTAGACAGATTTTCAATGTTCGCATATTATATTCATATCTGTCTCATATCCGAAGTTTTCTCTAAAAGTTCCGTTTGTACTCCTGCCCCCTTATTGATAAACAAGGAATAAGCTTAGACCAGTTACGCCGTGTTTTGTTTATGTCACTCGAATGCCATTTGTCATTCAATAGACAGGGACAAAACATGAAGTAACTAATCCAAGCATAGTCTTCGTTTATTAATAAGGAGCCAGATGTCTACAATTAATAGCTACCTACATAAACTACCTTACTAATTATACTTATTATTTTGGGGCGATAATGTTTTCATTCCTTTGACGTTTACATTTTCTCGCCCCGAACAAGCCTCTACCGATTTTGATGAATTTTGGTAAGGAGATATCCTTTACTCCATACTGGAGACGACGATAAACTGCAACTTTGTATTATGAAGCTAAAACTTGAAGACTGGGTTGTGAAGCAAATGTTTGTATGATGAATACTAGCATTTATTTGTACCTAAGTCATGCATGAATGTAGTAAAACCATTTATTGAAACATGAAACATCTCTACATATACATAAATGTTAACAAACGGCCGACGCGGCCAGGACAGAACGGGAGAAGTAGGCGTACACAGCTTTCCCCTATGTCGAATTGGACATAAAAATTGGTATTCAAACGATATAAGTGTGCAGTATGCATCACAATGCACTGCCAAACAATGACACATCATTGTTAGAATGAAGTATTTTCGGACGGTATGGCGGATGGGGGCTGGGTAAAAAAAACCATCACAACCTAGCGAGGCAGCTAGCAAGGCCGCTGGCCGGGTAGCTAGATGGGCAGCGAGGTGGGAGAACCAGTGACGGCGGTGGTTGTGGAGTTGGTTTAAAGTTTTGTTTGGTGAGTGATTATTACGTAATAAATAAATTGGCTAGAATACATTCAGGAAATATTTGGGCCCAGTGCGATTAAGAGGTTATCTCTCTTAACATATAATAATACATCTTGCAGGCAGGAGGTAGGAGGACACAGCGGAGTTTCCACTCGAACTGGAGTGTCCGTCTGGGGAACACTTTTAACACACTTTTAACTTTAGGAAAAAAAAAACAGTTAACTAAGTTTTTGTTGCACTAAACCCCGATTTCTGCTCTGCGGAGCAGAGAAACGACAAGGCATCTATGTAAGTACAGTGCATTTAGTATTACAATGTAGTAATAAACATAAAACTGATACAACATATGAATAAGTGTTATAAAGTTGCGTAGGTTAATTTCTTTCGGCACTTTAATCCACAACTTTCCTGGAGTCTACAAGGATGTGTTTTTATATTCTCGTACAATACAGTAACTATAATTACTTTATTTTTCGTGGTATTTATTAGAAATCATGTTTTTTTTATTATAAACTCAGTTAAAAGTAATTTTCTACGTGTTTACGAGTTTTTGTTTACCACAGTTCACGTCATAGCATAGATAATCTATAGACTAAAATGGCCGACAGCGTTTTTGTATGTCCATGAAAAGTCTATTTTAAAATTAAAGATTTGTAGCTTTCTAGGTTTAAAAAAAATACAATACATTTTCGGTCTAACAGAACATTTATTAACCATATAAAACCTTTTTCCAAAAAGGGTCAACTAGCCTATTCCGCGTACCCATTTTTCGATACTGTAGTGGACTAGAAGGATCGAAGTATGTAGTTTCCTGGCAAAGACATAGATGGCGGGATTTGCACTTTTTAAGTAAAAAATATACTTGCACTTTTTTAAGTGAAAAGCTTACTCACACTTTTTAAGTGAAAAGCTTATAACGCTTATACTTAAAAGCGTGCTTACAAGCTTAATATTTTAAGCGCGCTTAATTAAGCGCTTTTCGTTTAAACGCCCACCGCTTTTTGTATTATCTGCCTCCACTGTGGCCATCACCTGCCATCTCACGAGCCTGCCTGCTTCCTCAAGCTGACATCTCACGAGCCTGTTTTCTGAGTCTGAATCTGAATCTGAGTGCACTCTGGCCGTAGGGTACGGATACGGCGAGAAAAAGCAGTCAACCTGCTTAGACTGCACTGTTTATTTATCGCGCTTGTTTTCAGAATCTGAATCTGAGTGCACTCTGGCCGCACCCTTACCCGTACCCTACCCGTACCCTATCGTTTTTTTACAAGGTTCTCCCATTTCAGGTAAGGCAAAGGGAACAATGTCAATACAACTTTATCTTTAGTTTTATTTATCTTATTTTTTTACATTGGAATGTCGGTGTGACGCATTCTAATGTTTCTTGGAGTGTTTGGCACAAAATGTATCGAGTTGGCTTTTTCGATAATCTTCTGTGAGGTAGTCAACACTACATTAAAGAGCTCACGTCCACTTGATCTGAATAGCATTTTTTAAAGATTACACGATAAAATCCCGCCAAAACCCCTTTTTATTTTAAGCATTTCACTGCTAGATGTTTGAATCCAAAGAAATTTTTACTGAAAAATCATTTCTTTATGGTTTGTTGACACGTTGGCCTATAAATTGATTTACTAATGCTGGTAAATCGTGTGCGAGATGCGAAAGCCAGATTGCGAGATTTTTAGCTGCATAAGTACGAGGAAAAAAATCTACGGTTGGCAACCCTGCCCCAAAAGTCGAAGGTTCGACGCTGTAAATAAAAAAAAAAGGTAAATAATGCTTGACGGCTGCTGTTCATCACTGGACTTGTTATTGGCTTGGAAAAGAAGGAAAGTTATTAGGTCTCTATTTATACGTTTTATTGAGTGACAATAATGCTTACGTTCTTGTAACTCGAACCATGTTAAGCCAAACTTCTACTGAGGCGTTGCTTTCAGCAACCTACGTAGAAAATTACCTAGATTGTGTTGAAAATCTTCCCAACGATCTGCAGCGACATTTATCTCGACTACGTGAGCTTGACGTAACATATAGAGGTAATTTACTCAATTTTAATAGATATTTAAGTTATCTTTCGTTTTACATCATTTCCAATTCAGTACAACTCAAATTTATTTCATACAAGACCATTCAAATGACCATGTTGACATTTGTTAGACAGATTGCTGCAGACGTACGTAGAATAGAGATATATGGAGCTACAAAACGAAAATAACACATGAAACCAGTCTTTATAACGTGATTTCATATCATTGAATTATACTTGTATGGTACCAGACCATTTAAGATGTTTTGTTTTTAGATTTAAATATGTGTATACTATACAGTGATAAACATAGCCTATTTATTGTATTATAATCAAATAACACTTTCCCTATAATATTACATTACAAGTCATGCAGTATGCAAGATTTGACTGTCACTTCCATTAATAAACATAGATAAAGTATGATGTTTCTCTGTATGCAATTCTAAGAACTACCATTTTCTTTGTTTAGAATGTCTACGAGATGCTGAAACTTACCTGTCTGTGTGTATTGGGCCCAATACAGAAGAAAAACGTCGAGGTAGAGCAGCTCTACGTCTACAGGCTGCACTTGTAGCAGCACAAGAAATAGGAGATGAAAAACTACAAGTTGTTCAACTTACACAAGATCTTATTGATAACAAACAACGTTCTCTAGATGCTGATCATAAGAAATTGAGTAAGTTTTGCATCTTATTAAAACAACTAATAACTAGGTATTGATCAGATAATCAGATGTGTATATTTAAATACTATTTTGGAATACACCCTACATACACACATACTCTAATGGGAAATTAAAATTTAACTTTAAGTAAATATACACCTGATTAGCTATGCGAGTCCCGGGACTTTGTTTTTAATTGACAACCTCTGTGGCCGAGTGGTTTGTACATAGGGTTTCATGGTATTGCCGACTCGACAGGTCCCGGGTTCAAATCCCGATGGGGGCAGATGTTTGTGTGATGAATACAAGCATTTGTACTCCAGTCATGGATGTTTACTATGTATTTCTATATAAATATACTTATATATGTACAGTATATGTATTCTATCCGTTACCCTAGCATCCCATAACACAAGCCTTACAGTGCTTACTTTGGGGCTAGGCTAATTGGTGTTAGTGTTGGAAATATTAATTTATTTATTTAAAATATCCTAAGCTGCTTCCATAATATGTTACCAAAAAAATTAATCAATGTAATGCATCCAATTATTGGATCTCTATTAATAACATTTTGGATAATTTAGCACTTATTACATATTGTTTACAAAATGTAAAATTTAGACACATTCTTTTTATATTTGACTGATAAACATACATTTAAGAACTACAACATAGTGTAACATAATTATAATAATATTCATGAAAGTATAGTTTCTTTTTGACTTATTGAAAAGTTGACTTAAACATACCTGACAAATTAGTCTTGACTATATCCTATCCATGCCAAGGCTAAGAAGTCACTCATAGAACATCAGTTAATCTTGTTTTGTCTACAGTATCTTGCCTGGATGTTAACACAAATGGCACAACTAAAGAAAGCACACCCCCATCGGAGCCCCATCGTGGTGCGGAGAAGGAGACGATCCCGGTGCCAGCGCCCCCACCACACGTGCCACCCCCACCACCACCTGAGAGAACTGTTGAAAAGGAGAAGGAGAAAGTGGAAAAGGACAAATCAGGAGGTAATAGCTGGTCATCTACTAATGCTCATTCCTGCCGATTGAGTGGCAGTCGATGTGCAAGAGCGAGCACGCAATTAACAATTCATACATATTATTCGACGACCTCCGTGGCCGAGTGGTTTGTACGCCGGGTTTCATGGCTGTCGCTGACTCGAGATGTCCGGGGTTCGAATCCCGGTGGGGGCAGATGTTTGTGTGATGAATACGAGCATTTGTACTCCAGTCATGGATGTTTAATATGTATTTATATAAATATACTTATATATGTACAGTATATGTATTCTATCCGTTACCCTAGCATCCCATAACACAAGCCTTATAGTGCTTACTTTGTGTGGCTAATTGGTGTGTGTCGGAAATATTTATTTATTTATTATAGATTTTAGCAGGAATGAATGTTAGTGGATGGCCCGCTAATATTTAATAATTTCAAATTATATAACAATCATAATAGCAAGATTAGGGTTAATGTCTAATAAGAAAAATATTGTGGGTTACTTTATAGATTGATAATATTAATCAAACACAAAATACTTAATTATATAATATTATGAAAATAATAATAAGGTTGAATAGGTTGATTGACATTCAGATGTAATTATAATGACCCTAAAGAATGCCAAAAAATTGCATCATAATGTTTAAAATAAAAAAAAAATGGGTGCGTGTACTTATGTAGGCGCGTGAGAAGTTATCCTTCTTTGACATCATTTAAAATTAGTTTTTTATTGCATGCAAATAATTAATTACAATAAATTAATAAAAAGTCTGGAAAAGGACACAGTCAATAAAGTTCAGTTTTAATTTGAAAAAATAAATAAATAATCAAAATATTCAATTAAAATCGCTACTGAATATAATTTATTAGAACATATATGATTTGCACTTGTATGAAACTCAAACACGTATTCCGAATATACAAACTAGAAACATGTGGATAAATATTATAAATATGAATACCTATAACTGTTACTTTATTACAAAAAATAAAGATGTGGTTTTTGGTTCTACTACACCAATGGTCAAGAGATGGCGCTGTAGTCTCCTGAATCGCGCTTTGGTTCCGTTGTTCCAGATTAATAAATACTTTTGATATTATAAATATGAATACCTATAACTGTTACTTTATTAAAAAAAATAAAGATGTGATTTTTGGTTCTACTACACCAATGGTCAAGAGATGGCGCTGTAGTCTCCTGAATCGCGCTTTGGTTCCGTTGTTCCAGATTAATAAATACTTTTGATAGGCCTTCACAATGCAGTCGTTAGCACCCACTAAATAGAGATTCTATTTCTATTTTGTTGGTAGATTTTCTTTATGTGCGGTAAACACAAAAGTAACAGCATGAAGTTGGTCGCTAAAGCGACCAACTTCATGCTGTTAAAATTTTGTGTTACAGTGATGCGCGCGCATCTTAAAATTTCACTCTCATCATTTTTTCATAACGCGCCTAAAGAAGTATAACTTCAAAAACGTATTTATTATTGACATAAATATTTAATTATACTTGATTTGAAATTGTGGCTCTAATTATGGGAAAACAATGACACTGGTGTCGACTCTGGCTTGATTCTCTAAATATAAAACTAAATTTAACATCAGTCTCTCCTTTTCATTCTTTAGAGATACAATGTTGTCAAATGGTAGTACCATTTGACAACATTGTATCTCTATTCTCATACATTTTGGCCCAGTCATGTACCTGAGGCACATAATTTTTTTTATTAAAGCATCCAAGGCATTGTTTCATCTTTATGACACAGAACATATGCAATATATCACAGTGCACATGCATCGTGTTTGGATGCCCAATTGTGACTAAAGCGAATTGTGGTCATGCACCACAATTTAAAAGGATCCCTTTTGAGCCGCGAGTGCAGTATCTTCCCTCTTTGTTTTAATCTAAGCATATAGCATATATATTTCCGCAAAGCGTGCCTTTAAGTTTAGGTTTAGAGAAATATGTCAGAATCGACACTAATCCTAATCCTTAAATTAAGTTTAACAGCATGAATAAAATTACCAGGAGAGAGGTGGTCGAAACGCGCCCGACGATCTAGGCAAACAGCGGGCGCGGCGACCGACGGCGCTGACTCCAGCGAGAGGGATAGCGAGAGGCACACGCACAATACTACTCACAAGAAGGGTAACATAATTATTATTTATAACTCTTTTTTATGTCAAAAGGGTGGCAAGCAAGCATATGGCCCGCCTGATGGTAAGCACTCCCGCCGCTGCTTACCCTGACCCAATTCCCTACCCGGCCGTGTTGTTTTACTGTTGTAAATTACTCTTTAATTACTTTAAAAAAATGCCACGGTTGTCTGGAAGAGATCGCTCTTAGCGCTAAGACCGCCAATTACAACGCTTTTGTTCAGTTTATTGTTTGTTAAGTTAATATTATGTAATAGACTTCGGCAGTATGAAAAATTATGTACCAATTGTTGGCATCTTTAATTAATAACAATATTAGAAGCGATCTTATCTTACTATTTTGAGAGAACAAATAAATCATAAATTTTCTATAAAATTATTAAATAGAACTGATTTTTTGCTCCATGGTCACGTGACCGAAAACGCCTAGGATTGGCTGAGACTAAAACGACGTCACACGCTAGTAAACTTCCGCCCAAAGTGACATTACATTGTGGGTGTATTCCGAAATATACATCAGTATACTGGCCAGTGGTCATGACGTCACGAATCCGACGTCATATTGTACCAAGCGTGCGTGAGCATTCAAATTTTATTTCTTTTTTATTTAAAGAACAATAACGGCATCCGAACAAAAAGAATTCGTTTTAATTAATGAAAGTGAATAAAAAATTTTCTTTATTCGCGCTATTTTTAGTATAGCGTCGATTCATGACGTCATTAGCACTGGCCAGTATACTGGTATATATTACGGAATACACCCTGTATCGTTTGACGTTTTAATGACAATCAGGTGACGTCACACACTAGTGAACCGCCATATTGTCCAGAGAAACTTTCGCAGCAACTTGAAATTTTAATTTAGTATTTTTTTGTGAATTACTCAACAAAATTGAAATTATCCATTTTTTTATGTATAAACATTAGAAAATCACGAGAGATCATTTTCTAAAACTTGTCAAATACCACCCTATTATGTATTTGATGTTATAATAAAGTCTTTATCTATCCTACTTCACAGGTATCGGTAAAAAGAAAAAGCGCAAAGCCCGCCAAGCGGCCCAACGATCTGAAACACCTCCAGGCGACACCGACCCAATTGACCCGGACGAGCCTCGGTACTGCTTGTGCGATCAAATATCCTTTGGCGAGATGATTCTGTGCGACAACGATCTATGCCCGATAGAGTGGTTCCATTTCTCATGTGTCTCCCTCACAACCAAGCCCAAAGGCAAATGGTTCTGCCCCAAATGCCGAGGGGACCGGCCCAATGTCATGAAACCCAAAAGTCAATTTCTCAAAGAACTAGAACGGTATAACAGGGAAAAAGAAGAAAAAGCATAGTGACTATGCTGTTACTAGTTTTAAGGCGTCCATGGATCTTTAAATGAGAGTATGTGCCTTATCGAACGGTCTTAGTTAAGGCTAACTAACATGCATACAATAAAATTTATAAATAAAATTCGTTGTAAATGATACTCGATGCGAAAGCTTCAAAAGGTACATTCCACTCATTTTTGGTCCGCCTAAACGACTTAATAAAAGTATTGTGATTTCGATTTTATGTAAATTATTATTCCGTTTCAATGTTTGATGAAAAATAGAAGTCATGAATAAATTAAACTTCATTATTTAGAAGAATCTCTTACGTTTAAAACTATTTTCAAAGTCGACTAAAAACAGTTGATAAAGAAACTATGTATATGCGGGCATATTTGATTGTTTATAGTTTTCTATAAAGTCGACTATTAGATACTTTATCTATCATTGACTTTTATATCCAGTTCTAAGATTTTCATTAAATCCAATGACATAATATTATATTTTTATGAATAATAATATTATTTAGTACATGTATGGATAAATTGTTTATGAATATATTTTTGCCGTAGTCAAAGCAGAAGTGGTATTTCTGTGAGGTTGTATGTGGTACATTTTCGGCAACTATTGCATATAGTGAATATCGATAGTTGTTGTAAACAATTTTGATTTCATGTATTTGAAATAAAATAGTTATAAGAGTTTTAAGAATATATTGTTATTTTATTGATCCCGTAAATTGCTAAGGTTAACATAAAACTCCCTGTCGGCTTGCCTTTGCCTATGTCCCTATCAGGGCCGTATTCTGAAATCTAGTGCGGATTAGTTTCAAGGAACAAAAATAATGAAATGCCATAAATGAACGAGGCTATGAAACAGTACCTACATATTAGAAACTAATAAATATATGTATTTATTAATATTACCTACGATTATAGACATTCAGAAGCCTGTACCTCTTCTGTTTCATGTCATCTTCAAATTATTTTAAACTTCGCTTTATCAGGGGAATTCTTAACATAAAGGTCAAAACAATAAAGAATCAGAACAAATAGGATTTGGTTTTAAATTACATAAAAGGAAGGCATAAGTTCATACTATTTATTATTTCATTTAATACATGGATATCAATTTTCTACTTAAACTTACTATCAGTAACCATGCATAGTTGTAATATTGTAACTACTAACATATAAATAGGTATAAATGAGTCCCTTATTCTATATTAAAACTACAACACTTTTAAATTTGAATACCATTCGATTTCTCATAAATGCCATGATTTCATTTTAGGAAAACTCCTAAAAATTTAATTGATTGTTGTTTTATAAAATATTGCAATGGCTTATATTTTCGACTAGATTATTATTTATTATCAATAAAATTATTCTATATTGCAAGAGTTTATGATAGGACGATTGAGATAAATCCTTCGACACAGAGAGTTATAGAAAATATAAGTACATTTATTTTTAAAATATTACAAATAAAAAACTGATATCAGTAAAACTTTCTTCAATAAAATATATCATCTTTTATTTCAAAAATCTAAAGAATATTCAATACTGTTTAATTAAGTACACAAAAATAATCGATTTTTACTAATAAACTGGTATCTCCCTTTAGCTCCCATTTATGACATTATCAAGTCAAACCACTTAATAATTAGTAAAATAACTAACGAAAGGCAAGACAAAAATACAATACTTTTACACTCAGGCAAAAATATCAATTGTTTAATCTAAATAAAACACACGTTTGTGACAATACTTTTCAATATGACACTAATTTGAACACAAGTCCTATTAATTACAAACTAAAAATGATCCTAAGTTATAAATTTGATCATTGCAGCTTTAAAATCCATAGTATTACAGAAAAGTGATATATTTCGTAAATATCTTGATTATAAAGGTACCTACTATTTGATATCAGATCTTGCAAGTAAATAGGGGGAATTCGATATAAAGATCATAATATACTTAATTATGATGAAGTAAAATCTATACTACACCCAAACTCCATGGGGATTCTTGTTGGTGGGAGCGGCGTTTTCCAACTGTCTGGGGGAACCGATGATGCGGCGGGCGCTCCCGGCCTTACATAAGCCTGGAACACAAAAATCTGATAAATGTTCTGGAACGTCCGCAATCGATCTACAGGGTTAATTTTAAAACACCAACAACCTCTTAGGGGATGATTCTACCCATCAACAGAAACTTTTATTATGGGACCAACTGAAAATCGCGAAAAGAAGATCAGCTGTTTCATACATTTCGGTCGATTAGCTGATGCACTTTTGTATGAATGAAACAGCAATTTTTTTTACCTGTACAGGTAAACCTGTACAGGTAAACCTGTCAGGTTAACCCTAGCGTGTAAAGTTTGCTTAACGAGGCCAAGAAGTATTATTCTTTTGCATTTTAAGAATAAATTACAATAGAAAAACAACAAGAGCACAGAGAAACCGCGAAAAACTAACTTAATATGTCAGTTTTTTTGACAGCTATATTTTTCTCTTCATATACAACCTATGTCACTGACTTAACTGCTTTTTGCCGAAACCATAGTTGACAAAAGTTATTTTTGAAGAAACGATACAACGGATAAACCAGAATATCTCATGACTAAACTTTTTTTCGAAGAACTATGAAATGTGATCATAAAGCTTACGAATTCCTCTACAAGATGGCTAAACTCTCTTCTCTCATCTCATAAAACATGAACTTTTTGACAAAGGTGGTTTTTGAAATAATGTCTTTAATTGTTCTCACCCGTTTCTTCTTTAGTTCTCTACTCTAGTCTGTACGAAGAACCACAGGGAATCTTAAATAATGCTACTGAGTAGCCATAGACACCACAGTTCTCTTTTAAACTGCCGTCACAGAAGTACTATTCTGCCTACTGTGTGCTTTTTAGTACTTAAGACTGAATAATTTGTGGCCAAACTGATTGTATAAGGTACGATATAGCGTGCTATACAGTTCTTTTACAGCTTACTTAGATAGCTTAAAGAATAAATGTGTACTATAAGTCAACCGTAATCAGGTTTACCATTCGTCCGGATTAGTCCGGACTTTGTCCGGATTTTTTAAATTACATTGAATATGAATAATAAAAGTAAATATTGATTTAACTGCTTGGGGTCCGCATAAGCAGTATTTATGCGGGCTATTTAAACTTTACGGCACTAGAGATAGGTCATTTCGCCAAGTTAATCTATGGTTATGTTAAAATGCATCACATTGTAACTAAGTGTAAGAGTAATGGTACCATTTTGTAACTAAAAAGTCCGGGTTTTTTTCGAAATGTCAGGACTTTTGAAATTCCTATATGGTAACCCTAACCGTAATAGAACTTATACGGAGTTTTTGGCGGAATTCCATCGAGTGCGGTTGGCGTCTCATTTTAATTATTCTAAAATTCGTTCATAGTGGATATTGCGAAATAAAATTGGTGTGATTTTGTGTTACAACCATACGTAGCGTAGATACGCAACTGAAGAATTAGTGGAATCTTTAAAATATACGCTATTCCGGTCAAGTGGACGTGAGAACTTTATTGTAGTGTTGACTACCTCATAGAAGCTTATTGAAAAAACCAACTCAATACATTTCGTGCCAAACAATCCAAGAAACAATAGAATGTGCGTCACACCGACATTCTAATGTAAAAAAAAATTAAAAAAAAGATTAAGATTTGTATCTATGTATACGAGTGAAGGACTTTTATCCATGGTCATGAATAAATTATAAAAAAAAAATAGAACCTACAACTTAAGCTACTTGGGACGATGCGCGGACGCTGGCATGACGACGACGCTAGTGGGGTTACAGTTACGCAACAAGTCACATTGGAAATCATTAAATTAAACATTTAATTGTCGTCCGTGAGTGTTACATTACCGTCTAGCGGATGACGCAACTCATCCACACTGCCCGTGAGACTCTGCAGGTTGGCCTCCTTCATCTCCTGGACCAGTCTCTCCACCTGCCGCTTCTTCTCCATTATGGCGTCTTCTAACACACCAACCTGCAACCATAGCTTAATTTAATGGATTAAAGTCATCGAGATATAAGAATAGAGTAGGGGAGATATAGACCCTTCTACAAGTGGAAGTGTCCCACTAATAGAAAGAGAAAGAAGATGAGAGACCGCTAGTTTTCTCTCTCTAATCGCGCATGCGCATTGGCAACCGTAAGCATCTTACTATTTCGATGTGATGCCATTGGATGCCATGCGTCAAAAGAGAGAGAGATAGCTAGCGGTCTCTCATCTTCTTTCTCTTTCTACTAGACTGACACTTTTAGAGCCGCCTTCCCCACTCTATTCTTATACCTCTATGATTCAAGTACGGCCAAGGAGAAGCAATACAAAATGTAAAAAAAGGCGATGAAAGCTCATTAGCCAATGCAGGAGTTGACAACATATTTGAAAATAAAATTTTATTTACGAAAATGAACACAGGACTTTTATAATTTTAGTAGGCATATATTTAAATAAAATGAAATGTAGAAAACTGTATAGTACAGAGTTTTCTATATATCATAATAAACCTGAAACTAAACATAAATAAATCATTTTTATATTAAATAAAACAACAAAAAAATATTAGTTATACCAGCATCGACAGGAGAATTAAAATTTGTCATTATAAGTATTTTAACTTTAGAATGCCTGTCCGAATGTTGGCAAACTCGGCACCTCGGCGATCACGTGACATGACCGAACAATACCTTATGTCATATATTAAGAGATGAAAGAGATAGTTATTAGACTGTCAGTCCCATAATCTCGTCTAAGGTGAAAACTTTTGTATCCCTTCTCGTTAGCCGTACGTGCAGGATCTTTAAGTGACCGTTTAGGGAGGGCGTCACTATCTACGTAAATGACCGCAAATGAAATACAAAATATGAGGTTTACAAAGGCGGAGCTATACCAACGTAATTCTTTATTAGTACGTGTGTGAAAGATAATCGTATCGTGTTGTGGATGGCGTGGTTTTTTTCAAATACTTTTTGCAGAAGGGTGCAAGAAGGATAAGGGGTGCAGACAGCATTTTTTTTTATTTAATACTGAATTAAAATTATAATAAATCAATAAAATAATCATTTCACACATTACCATGCGTTTGGCGATCCGACGCAATGGAATTTTTGACAGCAGAAATTCACACATAAAGCCGAATTTACATATGAAATAAGTGGCATGAAAGTATTTACGTGAAATTAATTTCATTAACAGTTTATTTAGAAAAATGCAATTGATTTATTGCCTGCCTGATTATAAGTGGCCACCAATGGCTATAGACGTTTGACACACCAGTATATAATAGTATGTAAGCTACTTACCTCACGCTTGAGATTCTCAGCGGTGAGATGATTGATTTCGGTGGCATGCTTCGCTTGCTGTATTTGACTTTGCAGATTCTCCATTTCGGCGAGCATTGATCGCTCCAATGCTTGTCTACATAAAATAAAGCATAATCAATGAACAAAGTCTATTTTGTCAACATGCATAATTAATGAAAAAGAAGAGCTTGATGACGTAGTGGCTATTGCGTTCGTTCTGTGATTGTGGAAAGCAATAAATTTTCGCAATGACCGGTCATAGAATGGGTGACCGCTTTATTACTTTGAGATTTTGCAAGCTTCGGAGAGTAAGTTAAGCCGTTGATTCCAGCGGCAGTCATAGGCACCCACCAATCTACAAATGGGCACGAGTAATGGGTCATAGACTATTCCTCCAATTCCATCCATAGGTAAGGCCAGCAATGGAGACAATTAGGTTTCCACTAACAAAGTTATTCATTTTATTTACTAACATTTAATGTATTATCTATATCGATATAGATATTAGACTATAAGGTATATATCTATGGGTCTACCTTGCCTGATTATAAATAATGAACTAAATTTAAAAAACAAGGCTGGTGATGATATTTGCAGCTCACCTGTTCTCCTGCTGCCTGTTGCTTATGATCCTCTGTTCATTGTGAATTTCCTCCATAAGCTTACGGATTTTGTTCTTACACTGAAGCAGCTCAGTCTCACAATTAGCCAGCTTCGACCGCACAAGAACTATTTCCGACTTGATAGTTTTCTCACTCTGTTTCACTATTTCACTTTCTTCCTCAACATAGTTCAAAGCTTGAACCTTTAAAAAATATATAGTCTGTGGAACGCTATCTTTATCACACTTAACACTTTATGAAATACTTTTAACATCATACCTGTTCGGTACTGATCCGTAATTGGTTGTCAGCTGAGCTAATCTGCTGCTGCAGCAACTCCACTTGCCTTTCTTGTTCTCGACCTTTGTTCTCCCAATAACCAATTTCGGCGTCATACTGTAACGAGTGTATGTGAAAATTTCGTACTTATTGAATAGCATAATTTGAACCACCACAATCAGTGAAAGATTATATTTATAATATGTAGTATAAAAAATTATGCTAGTTTACATAAATAGCAAAGAAAGTCAAAATTAATATCAAGTAAAAATAAATTAATAATAGACATAAATCTTAATATCCTAGCTTTATATATATTTAGTATTCTCATGCTGACAGGACAGACAGACAGACAGGCAAATAAGGATGTGCAATAGCAATATGATATTAAATAATTTAGTTTATACACATTAACATACCTTTATAAGATCTACTTGTTGGGTAGACAGTTTTTCTCTCTGAGAATTTACAAGGGAAACTAGTTCTCTGTACTGGCTGTTGTAGCTTACGGCTTCGGGGCTGCGAGTCTCATAGTTCTCATCTGGTAAGTTGACTGGTGACATATGAGCAGAGCGGCAGTCACGGCTTCGGTTAGGCGACTTTCGTGTTTGAGACGGAGGCGGAGGTGAGCGATATGGTGGAGGTGGATCCCTGGACATGGAACAAAAAGGCTGACTTTGCTATTGTCATGGAATAAACTATACACAAATTACAATACCTTATGGCATTTGGCAAATAGTGTAAATGAAACAAAATATTATAATGCCAAGCTAAAGATACCAAGAACAATAAGAAAACTAAACAATCACTATTACACAATGAGTGGAGTTATGCAAGAATCAGATCTTTTCCAATTAAACTAAATGATACTATGAGTCACAGGTGAAACTTCTCTAGAAGTAAAGAGCTTTAAAAACTATAAAGTTGAATTCATCAACTTGTTCTAATAACTGTGTTTATGTACCAGCTATCAATATTATACCCTTCAGTTTGATGTTTCAAAGATATTGTTTACAAACTCCAATTGGATTTGAAGTTTGTAAATATTTCAGACAATTGACAGATTAGACAATCTAAAAGAATAAAACTGATCACTGGTACTGTCCAGCCTAAAAATAGTATGTAATAAATTGTTATTTAGCATCCATAAAACATTCTATACATAGTTTTAGATAAAATAATTGGTATAAGTCAGTGTCTGGATTGTATTATTATTCATGTTATGATTACCTATAAGGTGGTACATCTTTCAATAAAGGACTATTAGTTTCTGGTGTTTTAGCCTGTTGTACTCCTTTCACCACTCCAACAGGATTCCCGGGAGACCCATGGTTTAGGTTATTGTTATATGGCAGTGCCGCATTTAATCTATTTGGTGAGTTCTGGTTGTCCAGTATGTTAGGGTTAGATGTGTTATGGCTTCTGTAAAAATAGAATGAAGGGAACATTACAATCTTCTTATCTACTGTTAGTGGACTGGATTTTCTGTCATAAACACTAGTTTTTTAAAATTGACAATTAAATATAATAGGTTAATATACATAGATTAAATTAAATATATGTAAAATAACAGTCTTGCAGTGAATCATTGAGGATAAGGAGTTGCTTCCATAAAAACCTAAGGAGGTTTTCCTCAATCCTCAATGATTAACAGCAAGACTGTTGAGCAAGGCCTCAACTCCATGTCCATAACAAACATTAAAATACTAACCCATTTCCAACTGGTGATCTTGAATTATTAGTAGACTGAGATTTTTGGTTCTGACTATTATTAGAATCTGATCTTCTCAATATGAACTGAATGTCATTAGAATATTCACCCCATTTCATAAGAATCTGTAATATAGAATTAGTCCACGTACAAATTATAACATTTTCCTTACTAATAAAACTGCAGATAAACTCTATATCTGATAATGATCAATCAAATTAGAAATACCTTTAATGGATATTCCTGCGGAGCTAATAACCTTTCGTTATTTCTCCAGCGCTCAATTAGAGTGAACCTGCCCACTTTACCAGTGGCATGAGCCAATGCGAAAACTACATCCTGGATACGAAAATAACATCTTATTTACAAAAGCACAAAACGAGGAGAGAAATTTCTTTCTAGTAGCACATTAACCTTTAGATCGTCTTTATATTTAAAACTTTTATTAAAATTGATACTGACCTGACAAGTTGTGGTCTCTGTGACCCCACAAACGATCCTTTGTATCCCTTCAACCCAGACCTTCAACTCCATTAATTTTTTATAACTTCTCTTTTACATTCATCTAAATATTCGACTACGACATTATTGTACAGGCTGTCAACCCGTTTGTGACTTTTTTCTCACGTAAAACGTATTGTAATAAAACACAAACATACCAAAAACACAAAAGAAAATAGGCACCTAAAGTGGGTTATGTGAAATTTCCACAGATTAGGAGGAAGGAAGGAGCTCAAAACAAAAAGATCAAAAAAAAGATGTGTTCGTTCGGAAACTATGGCAACTGAAAACTTTTTGGACCTGGCCATACACAAGTCCTATTTAGGAACGACCCATTCACATATTCTCTACTAATAATGCTAATATTCGTGATCGTGACCAAGAATATTTAAAATCAATATAAATTTGACAATAAAAGAGAAAAGACTTATTATTATCAGTGTACATATTTATGAAACGCGAAATCCGTTCATTTAAACAACTGACCCAATTACTTATTTAAGTAGGTTTTTATTAAAACAGTTCTTTCTTGTATAACTTTATGGAATTAACTCGTGATCATAACTCCATATTTTTTTTATTGATTCACGATTCACGAAAACTTCAGCAAACATAAGAATAAACAAGCTTTGACAAGTTAAAAGTCAGTGTCAAATATTTTTCTTCTATCATTCATCTCATTCATCATATTATGTAGAAGAGGCACCTCGAATACATTAATCATCTGCCTAAATATTCTTTGAAGCCATATAAGCTCCCAAGCTCCTTCGCTTGCTGCTACTATCTCTGCTTCTGTAGTCGAGATGCTTACAGATGGTTGACGGTGGCTTAGCCAGGAAGCCACCCCACCATAGCAAGTAACTACTTTTGCAGTTGACCTTCCTGACGGTGCAACCGCCGTGATCAGTGTCGCCAGGGGCGGTTTATGCACTAGGCCCGCTAGGCCCGAGCCTAGGGCGCCGTGGCGGAAGGGGGCGCCACGGGCCGATAAATTTGAAAGATTAAAAGCGAGAAAGCGAACGTTTTAATCGGGTCCACTCAAACGTCAATATCGCCAATATAAAATATATATGTGCTCCATTTCTACCCACAAACCTACATAATATATGTATGATTGAAATTCTGTTTCCGTTAAATTATTTTTGAAATACACTCCCGCTCAAAAGTATGGGTTCACTTCTCGAAATTTTCAGCTTCGGTATAAGTTCCATATCTTGGTGGAAAAAGGTCGTAAGAGAATTTAATGAGCACCGTTTTGAAGGGGACAGTTTTAGCTTTACTTTGCCATTTTTTATAATTTTTTACAATTTTTTTTATAGTCCCCACGCGCTTTTGAACATGGCAGTTTTTCGATGTTTTTTTGTCCTCTGAAAACGGGCTGTCTGGCTGTTAAAAAATGTTCCTTGCAATTTTATCCATCGCAGTTTGAAAGAGGATATTAAACACTGCATTTTCGTTTTTGAAAAAGTATCTTGCGATTTTTTGTACGTTTTTTTCATTTAAAAAAAATAATTTTTAGTTCAAATTACGTCAAGATGAAGATGAAACCAATAAAAGCAATGCCTCAGCCGTTTAGAAAAAAGAAAGAATCATGGGAAAATTAAAATCATTTCGACTCCACGAGTATGGAAAAACAAATGTCGGAAAAAAATTCTGAAATAAATCTACCATGTCCATCATGATCTATTGCAACTTTTCACCCTCTTGATATTTTCTTCGATCACCCGCCGTTTTCAAGATACGCCGAATTGAATAAAATTATCATTTTTTGTCAAAAATTAGAATATTTTTGGTAAAAAAAATCGCACGATACTTTTTCAAAAACGAAAATGCAGTGTATAATATCCTCTTTCAAACTGCGATGGATAAAATTGCAAGGAACATTTTTTAACAGCCAGACAGCCCGTTTTCAGAGGACAAAAAAACATCGAAAAACTGCCTTGTTCAAAAGCGCGTGGGGACTATAAAAAAAATTGTAAAAAATTATAAAAAATGGCAAAGTGAAGCTAAAACTGTCCCCTTCAAAACGGTGCTCATTAAATTCTCTTACGACCTTTTTCCACCAAGATATGGAACTTATACCGAAGCTGAAAATTTCGAGACGTGAACCCATACTTTTGAGCGGGAGTGTATAAAAATCATTTATTCTAGCCTGTGCTTTTTCAACTATTTTATGGAGAGGGGAGAGGAGAGGGGGCGCTAATTTCGTCAGGCCTAGGGCGCCCGTTTTCGTAAACCGCCCCTGAGTGTCGCTGTAGCCAATTATGGTTCCTGCTGTTGCATTTCCATATTAGATGCCCAAAGCCGTAGTCCCTTTCAACTAAAATCCTTTTGACTTTCAGCCAATCTCCTTTCATTGGATCCTCCAACTTCTTTGATGCTACTCCTATAGCATAGGCTAGGTCTAGTCTAGTACATGTCATTAAATAAGCTAAAGCACCAACAGTTTCTCTATATGGTAACTTCTCTTCAGCTTTCCCTTCTTGAGTAATCAAACTTGTGGGTTCTCTTTCGATCGGAGTTGATACTGGATTGCATTCCACACAACAACATTCTAAACCTATCCAAAATCTTCTTTGCATAAGATTCTTGGTTAATAAAAATTGATCCATCCTTATGCCTGACTATCTCTAGTCCAAGGTAGAAAAATGCTGGCTTGTTACTAATTTTGAGTGTGCTTCTTAAGTCTGTATGAAACTGTTCTGCTAGCTCTTCGTCTGTTGTGGCCACTAGTTCGTCATTAACATAGAGCGCAATAAAAATGTTCTTGTTTTTGATCTTTTTGGTGAAAAGACAACTATCAGGCGCACATTGTGTAAAACCTTTTTCTAAAAGTAGGTATCTTCTCAAAAAATAAGTTCCAGCACCTGGGTGCTTGTTTCAAGCAGTAGAGGTTTCTTAGAAGTTTACAAACTTTTTGGGTTCCGTCACTGAATCCGCTGGTTGTTGCATATAAATGTCTTCTTTGAGCTTTCCATTTAAAAGGGTGTTTAGACATCGAACTTTGTCATAAAAATCTTTTCGTTAGCGCTGACATTTAGCAAGGCTCTTATTGTAGCCATCCGAGCAACAAAATTGAAGGTTTGTTCAAAGTCAATACCATTCCTTTGTTCGAATCCCTTGACTGCGAGTCTAGCTTTGTACTTATCTATGGTCCCGTCTGGGCGATGGATGATTGCCCTCGCCCACTGTCTCGCACTCCAAAGGGCATGCGAGGCCAATTTAAATGCAATTGGCCTCGAGACTTAAAATCCCCGTAAATTTTTAATTGAATGAAAACTTAAAAATACGTTTACTGATGCCACATCGCGGCGTAATTGTGGAGACTCAAAGTTGTTGTTGTGTGTTGTAGATTCCGCTGATGCGGATAGAGTGCCGCTGCAACCTATTCAAAGCACCGAATAAATATTTAGTGGAGCCATCCCAGAGGTGCGACAAATATTCCAGCCAGGACCACACTTGCGTCTTCTAGAAGAAGCACAGTTTACTGGACGCTACTGGACGTGAATAAACGCCGTACCTTGTTCCGAGGTATCGTTAAGCTGTTTAAATCAAGGTTTTAAAGTAGTCCTTTGGATTCAGGTCAGAGTGAACTTACATACCAAGCATCGTGATGTTGCTCTCTAGCGCCAGTTTGTAAAACAAAATAAAAGGTAGTAGTCATATTTGATTACTTTATGCCAAATAATTGAAATAAAACAACAAACTGTCATTACTCGACATTGAAGGAAGTGATTACTTTTTCCACCGAATACATTCAAACGAGACAATCACACAAATTTGAGAGAGATTTTCACTGCTAGGTATCGGTAATATTAAGTACTTAGTTCAAAAAATACCACACATTCTTACCTAACTACCTTAAATAAAATGGCGCAGGAAGACGATGAGGAGGTAAGTTACCTAATATTATTTACTAGAAATAAAGCCTCATGGCCCGGTTAGTAGACAGAACTCGAACCTGCGCTAGGCTAAATACGCCCCCTGGTTAGGAAAACGCTAATTGGGCAAAAAAGTGTCCATGCCTAATGAGTTGTCATTGCGTGTTCAATGGCTATCGTCACTTCTTTTATCGTGATAGCTCCACGCCACGACATGAACTACGACATGAAGTTGGGCATCTTACTTAACATCTTAACTATTGAACAAGCTAATTTCTTTACGCTCGCTTTACGCTTTTCACATAAAATTTTTCCGTCTCGCGTACATTTTCTGGATTTTTGAGCATCAACTAAAATGAGTGCATGTGTCCAAGCCCAATACCTAATGAGAACTCAAATTAAAACTATTTATTACTAGGTATAAATGTAATGTTCATTCCATGCAGGAAATGGTATTTAATGTTGAAGAGGTTCAAAAAATAGTTCGAGACAACATTGAACTTTGCCTAGGAGGGAACGCGTATAGTCATTCAAGAACACCGCAATGGATTACTATTATTACAGAGAAAACTCTGGCCAGACTTAATAAGCTCAACAAACCCTTCAAGTATATCTGTACGTATGTTAAGTAACCTATTTAAAATGTGGAGGATTCATTATTATAAATCTTGTGCTCTTGGATGCAATTTTTAAAATTGCGCTCGTAGATCGTGCCACTGGTTTTGAGAGGTTTTAATATCGTTGTATTGATGTAAACTTTTTCTATTAAAGGTCCACCTAGTGTTATTTTACTGTTCTGTTCAGTACCCTTAGCAAAAACCCATATCGAATTCGAATAGTTCTATTCGATCTCGATATGCGTCAAATGGCAAGAAGTTTGTATGGAAATTTAATAGCACCAAAACGGATGTAACGAGAAAAATCTTCCATACAAAACTTCTTGACAGTCGACGCAAATCGAGATCGTATTCAACTTTTTGAATTTAATAGGGGGCGTCCATAAATTACGTGAGTTGTTTAAGGGGGGGAAGGGGTCGAGTCAAATCTCATCTAATCTTACGTTGGAGGGAGGGTGGTCTCGGCAAATACCACGCAATTTATTTTCTGATTGAAACAAAAAAAATATACTATTTTGGTCCATTTAATACAGATTGTACGTACATGCTTAAGATTACACTAATTCGTTCGAAAGAAAATAATTTCATTCATTATTACCGTGCGCAAGCGCCAACGGCTTAGAGTGGCTAGATCAGAACGAAGTTGAAGGAGCAGATGATTTTACTGAAAATCATATGGACATGTTGGTTCCATAGTCTCTCTTGAAACCGCGCATAATTCTCCATGGACTGAATTAGAGTAGATATTCTTTTTTAATCACAGTAGGTAGTTACAATTGAAGTATTATATTATTAATTTTTTATTACACTTATAACTCTCAGCAATATTGATTACCTACTAGTCATAACAAGTCGTAAATAAAAGCACGAAGCATTTTTTTTTTCTTTTTACAATAACAATCCAACGTAACCAACACTTTGAAAAATCTCACGTGAGATTGAGGGATGGGGGAGCCGGGTTGAATAAAATCTCACAACATCTCACCAGGAAGGGACAGAAAATTCAAAAAAATCACCTCAATAATTTGTGGACGCCCCCATATTGGTTCGTGCTAAGGGTAGGTACAGTTAAGCGGGCCGCAGGGCCAATGTAGGGCGCACGGCGGTCGGGGCAATATCGGCTTGTCTCTACACACATGCCTGCTATTCAGTGTTTGGGTAAAGTTGAGCTAAACACACGCGTTGATTATGGTCCCAGTATTATCAAAAAATCAAAAGATCGGTAGGTAGGGCCTTGGGTGTTAGCACAAAAAAAACAACACTGACGTTGTAACGAACGGACGTGTATTTGGTGTCATAATTTGTTTAAAAATATTTATTAGGGAATATTACAATAAATGGTCACGAAATGTTCGGGCTGCGAGGCCCCAATATACGACGTTTTGTATATGGAGTGTACGCAGCAATTATGTAAGAAGCTATACGATCTGAAGTGCCTCGCTCTTACCGTAGAAAATTTTGAAAATTTTACCCAGGATTATAAAGATACATGGATCTGCCCGGAGTGTGTACGTATTATTCCGAAAAAGGACAACACAAGAACACCGGTACGTAGCAGTGTTACGATGAATACGACATTTACACCAACCAATTTCGTTAATATCGAGCGCGGTAGTCGTTGTAACGAAAAAGAATTCATTGTATCGCCTATTGAGAATAAGCTCATAGAGGAGTTAAGAGAATTTCGACGAGAGATGAACATAAAATTTGAGGAACAAAGGAAGGAAAACGCATTATTACAAAGTAAATTTATAAAATCTGAAAAAGAAATCAAAGAATTAAAAGATATGTTGAGGGTAGTTCATGAAAAAACGGAAAGAATTGTGGACTTAGAATGCAAAATAGATGAACTTACAAAAAAAAATATGGAATTAGAAAACACCCGGAAAAATAATCAGGTGTACCAGCAGCAGATAAAACCAAAAGATTCCAAAGTATCATTTGTGGAAATAGTAAAACAAAATAAATCAAATGTTGAGGAATGTGTGGCCACGAAAACGACAAATAATGTGAGTAGTGAGCAAAAACTTTCTAATGACATGATAAACGGCGACAAAAATAAAGGAAATAAGTCAAAAATAGGAGAAGATTGGACGACTGTCATGAATAAAAAGAAAAGAAATAAATATTCCAGTCACGAAGTGAAGAAAGGTGGAATATCTAACGTGGACGTTATACAAGGTACTGAACGGAAAAAATATTTACATATATGGCGTTTGAATAAAGAAACTACGGAACAAAATTTGGAAAAGTATGTTAAAAGCTTGTATAAGGAGGAGATACAGATAAGAATAGAAAGAATAAAACACAAGACTGAACGAGATTATGCTTCTTTTATTATTGGAGTGCCAGAAAGTCATTACGAAAGAATATGTAAGCCAGAAAGTTGGCCCGTAAATATTGAATTTTGTGAGTGGATTTGGTTTCGAAAATCACACAAACCTCAACAAACATAAAAAGTCAAACAAGAAACCAAATCAATCAATAGAGATATATTACCAAAATGTGAGAGGACTTAGAACTAAAACTCAAGACTTTTATACAGGTATTTCATCATCAAATGCAGATTTGTTTACAATTACAGAAACAGGTTGTAACCGTTCCATTGAAGACGCGGAATTAGTACCTCCGGGATACACGATTCTACGATGTGATCGAGCGGACGGTCGAAAACAAGGCGGTGCGTGTCTCGTTTCAAAAGGGCTCACACCTTTAAAAAGGGTAACAGAAGTTAGGGACTTAGGAGTGAAATTCACAGCAGACTTATTATTTCGAGATCACGTCGTTGACGTTTGTAAAAAAGCTTTTAAAACTTTAGGTTTCATCTTACGAACTGTAAATGAATTTACGAATGTACAGGCCATCGTAGCTTTGTATAATACATTAGTTAGAAGTCATCTAGAATGTAACGCTATGATTTGGGCTCCCCACGAACAAAAGTATAATATTATGCTAGAGAGAGTGCAGAATAAATTTGTAAGATACATGTATTTAAAATTATATGGAGTGTATCCCTTTTATCCATTACAATATCCTACATTATTTGTTCTTGGTATGGTTGGATATAGTCAGCTTAGGGTTCGGAGAGAATTGAAGCTAGTAATTTATATTTTTAAGGTGCTTCGGGGTAAGATATTTAATCCGGGCATACTAGGGATGACTAGTTTTAGTGTTCCAAATGAATACATTTGGCGTCGGCGGCGGCCGGGCCTGTTGGCAATTCCTACTGGACGCACTAAATTATTGAGTGAGGCTCCACTGACGCGTGCATTGCGCACAATCAACAAAATTAATGAAAAGATGGACTTATTCGTTTGTGCTCTGAGCGAATTTACAAAACTAGCTGAGTGGATTATTATCGGTTGCAATTAATTATTTTTTCCAATGTGTTCGTAAATGTGTATTATAATGTAATTCTTAAATGGATGTATCTATTGCCTTGGGTATATACCTGTAATAATAGATATAAGTATTTGATATAAATAAATAAATAAAATAAATAAATAAAAAAAGGAAATACTGGGTGAAGAATTGGCAACAGAAAGAAATGTATTGTAAATAAATCATGTTTGTGTTTTTTATCCCACATGTGGGGTCGCTCTTTATATACTTCTATCACTGGAGACCAAACTTCATGCTCATTATAATCTGCCGCCATCTTGATCGAAATACCTATTGCGCTCCGTGTGACAGTTACCAACCAACTGATTAGAAATTGCTCCGATCGCAAGGGTGGTCTCGCGCCCCTGCCGCCCTGCCCAAGGGCCAATTTAGAAAATTGCCCCTGCTTGCCATGTGCGTGTGGACTGAGTGATCTTTTCAAAAAACTCATCCAACCACAACCAAATTATAAGAGGATTTAGGAAATAATTGTGAAAACTTAATGGTAAGGTAAAAAAATTGTGAAACTTAACCAAAGAAAGTTAGAACTAATTAACTGGATCACTCAATCTGGACACCTGAAGAATAAGCCATAACGCGTATCCAAGAAAATACTACCTATGTGTTTATAATTTGTATTTGAAATAATTGTGAAGAATTTGTGAAAGCTGCTAAACAAATTTTCGATTCATTTCAAAGCCACGTTTAAGATTTAGAACGGTTTATATGGATCACTCAGAATGCACTATGTTCATTTGAGTGATCTTTTAAAACACTAACTTATACTGAAAAAGTATGGAACATTATCATGTTTGTTATAAATTATGCTTCTGGGAAAATTTGTGAAACAAAGATCGGGATTGAAATCTTACTGGTTTAAGAGAAAATGAAAATCTTGTTTTTTCTCGATCGTCCCAACTGAGTGATCCTTATCTTGAACTATATTTAATAAACCCAAACTTATAGGTAGAAGGTAGTTACATCAGAAATTGTGAAAAATGTTGTACTAAAATTTAACGAACCAATCGTCCCAGTAAGTGTTATATTTTAAAAGATAACTGTAATGTCGGTTGATTAAATAAAACACTAAGAAAGTCTAGCACTCTGCGCCATCTTTATTTTATATAATCAATATCATACCTTAGTGATGTATTAGTTAAAAGCGTTAGTGATGTAACTTATCTGACAATAACTCATTTTCTACAATCCTTAAGGAAAACGTTGAGTAGGGTGACCATATAGGTTTACTTGAGTACCGAGAGTTGTGTAAGTTTTGTTTTTAGAAGTTTTAAAGATGTTTTTATAGTGTACTTAATACATAATTTCAACATAAAATGACGTTTTTAAGTGACAAATTTTCAGCAAAGTTAGGTATTGTCACACTGTATTAGGTTTATCATACTAAGGAATTCTACACACAAAAATAAGATCAGATTTTTTTAAGTAACCAAAGAAATTACCTTTTTGTTATTCTAAGTTTTTTTCTAACATTCATAGTCTACTAAAATGTTACCTAATCAATAAATCCGTAGGACAAAGTATGTAAAATAACTGGTTCTTCTTCTTTGCTGTTATACATTTTTCCCATCAAATCATCATAACAGACTATTTTTTCGTTATGGACACCATGTCCTCTGTAGTGGCCAATATTATCGGGACTTCATTCATTGCACTGCCACCGTCATACCCCATTGTGGCACAACGATGCCTAATATCAAAGTACTTGCTCGATGCTTTGAATAGGTTACAGCGGCGCGCGATCCGCATCATAGGCGATGAGGAGGTGACTAAACACCTTGAGCCTCTTCAATTACGCCGTGACGTGGCGTCACTAAGCGCGTTCTATCGTCTGTGTGGGTGTACAGACAAGTGTTCTAAGGAGTTATTCTCTCTCATTCCACCTTCCCCTTTCCTTCAGAGGACCACGCGCGCTGGCCTACGTTGCCACCGCCTAACTGTGGCCACAATTCCAACGCGTACAAAGAAATTTGGTGACTCATATCTTTGTCGCACTATCCGTAAATGGGATGCTCTGCCCGCTCACGTGTTCCCTCCCTCTTACAACCTGGGATCCTTTAAAAGAGGCGTGAAGAAGCAACTCGCAGGCCGGCAGGGTGAAGATAGCTGGTGTGGTAGGTAAAACTGCTGTATCTGCTATCTTCGCGTCTGGACTTCACCTTTACTTAACATCAGGTGGGATGGAGTCATTTGTCGGTCCTATCTATATAAATAAAATACTATAAACAAACTTCATTGCATTAGATGCACTGCACAACGCCGCCAGCTTCGCAAATTGCAATGAATATACACAATGTTAGCATTGAATAGGTTAGTCGAAAAAAAATCCGACAAAATAAAAAAGTACAAGTACCCTACTCAACGTTTTCCTTAAGGATTGTAGAAAATGAGTTATCTTTTAAAATATAACACTTACTGGGACGATTGGTTCGTCAAATTTTAGTACAACATTTTTCACAATTTCTGATGTAACTACCTTCTACCTATAAGTTTGGGTTTATTAAATATAGTTCAAGATAAGGATCACTCAGTTGGGACGATCGAGGAAAAACAAGATTTTCATTTTCCCTTAAACCAGTAAGATTTCAATCCCGATCTTTGTTTCACAAATTTTCCCAGAAGCATAATTTATAACAAACAGGATAATGTTTCATACTTTTAAGTATAAGTTAGTGTTTTAAAAGATCACTCAAATGAACATAGCGCATTCTGAGTAATCCATATAAACCGTTCTAAATCTTAAACGTGGCTTTGAAATGAATCGAAAATTTGTTTAGCAGCTTTCACAAATTCTTCACAATTATTTCAAATAGAAATTATAAACACATAGGTAGTATTTTCTTGGACACGCGTTTGGTTGTGATTGGATGAGTTTTTTGAAAAGATCACTCAGTCCACACGCACATCTGCTTGCCTACCTACTCACAATTGAGGAGGTAATTAAGGATCATGCCCACTCTTACACCCTAGATTGCCCCTGCGGCAGGGATGTCGGACCAATACGACCCAAGAACCTTAAAAAAAAGAGCGTACTCCTTCCTTAAAGGCCGGCATCGCATTTGTGATACTCCTGGTGTTGCAAGTGTCCATGGGCGACGGTGATCACTTACCATCAGGTGAGCCGTCTGCTCGTATGCCCCTGTAAGCGGCGGATACTTATTTCCGGGAGACGGGCAATCCAATTTCAAAAGACAATATACCCTCCTACCTCTTCAAAAATATCTCTTGAACATAGTTTCGAGGCACCTGCTTAAACGGAGTTTTTGTTATACTTACACAGTGCGAATTACGATAACTCAGAAAAACGGCTCGGGCCTCCACACCGCAGCGGCTTACTACTGGGACACCGCTACAGATAGCACGTGCACAGTGCGCTGGGAAAACAAGTTCATGTACTGCATCGTCAATGTATGGGGTCTCGCTTTACAAATATAATTTCTTATCTTGCCAGAAAAATGCTTTTAATTACATCTAAAAATTAAAATAATCTTTACCAATCTTAGATACAGACGCACTGCCATACATTAATTTACACACACTGTCAAATCTCTATGATAATGAATCTCATGTCGAGGGGCCAGGCCTACAACAGAGATAAAAAAAATTACGATGGTCACCAACCAGGGGGAAGAGGGGTTTGCAAATCGCAAGTGGCCGGGCCTGAATTTAGGGGCCTCCACTACTTCGTTGCCCCGGGTTGCCACACCTGTAAATCCGGCGCAGCTTGTAGTAGCTGTAACTTTTTTTAACATCTGGAAAATGCCTTACGCATCCTTCAACCACCAGGGGAGCCAAGGGCGTCGCCTAGTGATCAAATGTAGCTAGCCACAAAGCGACCAAAGTGCGAGCAATTGACTTCCTTATCTATTATATTGCCCCATAGCTCCCCCCTTAGTCATAAGCTGGCGACGCCCTTGAGGGGAGCTAGGTGCTGAACCTTACATATATGCGCTAAGATCAGTAACTAACTTATTTTTACGAATGGTTTATCTATGTCACACAACACAAAGAAGCAAGGTCTAACTTCTACCCATAAGGCGGTATATTTCAATACTAGCAGCCCGTCCCGGCTTCACACGGGTGTATTAAATACTATGGCAACAGCACAATCAGCATCCGAAAAAAGTAGCCGGACTGAGTTTCTTATGTAATTCTTATCCATTGCCTTTTGGAGCGGTAGTTTTGAAAAAAGAAAACACAGATAGTATTTTTATTTTATACAGAGTACCTAGGTGTGGAAAATTGTAATCAATCCTATGCACTTTTGGAGGGTAGTTGTAAAAATGCTATGTAACAGGCTTAGTGTACATCTATTATAATTATAATGTTTATGCAAAATTTGCATTAAATAGGTTCAAGGGATAAAATTTTATAAACAAACGTTTCTTTGCAAATTTCACGCTTAAGAGGCTGAATTTCAAAAATCCCCTAATCTTATTACTTGTCTAGACAATAATAGGAACCTACTGTCCAAATTTCATCATTCTAGGTCCAGCTAATTCGACTGTGCGACAATGACTCAGTCAGTCTGTCAGTGTATCCTTTTCTCTCAATATAATAGTATAGATGAAAAATATTTTCTAACTTCAACCTTTCACGTTGGGTCTTGGGTCTCAATTGGGTATTCAGTACCTTTTTTCGCTTCCCGCCATCACTTTAATTACATAATAGGGCAAAAGCTAAGCTAAGACACATTAACATAAACAGATTTTCGCATGAGCCTTGGAATGCATAGTGCTCCGAATTTCCAACCTAATAGTGCATTGATTGAATGCATTCGGTTGAAACTAGACTTGCAACGAGTATTCGGTTACTATTCGGTATTCGGCCTATTCGGCTACTTTTATTATATTCGGCCGAATACCGAATATCTACATATTATTTGGCCGAATACCGAATACTTAAATAATATATTTTATCATAGAGAAATAATTGGTAAAATGAAAAAAAATAAAATCGATTGATTACGTAAGTAAGTATATATTCATATTTTCATTTCTGTTATATATAATCATTTAAGAAGTCATTGGTACATAACACAGGTACATAATCACCTTCTGAATTGGAAAAATGTAGGATTCTATGTATTTGTATTATTGTGGTAATCAAAATTTAGAAGGGTAAGGTTCTCATTTCTTTTATAATTATTTATTAAGTAATCATTGGTACATAAAACAGATACATAATTTAATCATTTTCTGTATTAAACAAGTTAAGAATTTTTCTTTACATTTGAATTATTTTCATAATCAAAATTTAGAAGGGGAAGGTTATGATGCAGAAAGACTAACTTTTCTGCATTTTTAGGAAGTAGTTTACTCCTTTTTTTCTCGTAGACCATCCCAGCTTCAGAGAAAAGGCGCTCTGAATAAACACTACGTCCTGGCGCCGACAAATATTTTACTGCAATCTTAATCAAACACGGAAATTCAAATTTCCTTGCTGCCACCATGTATACGGGTTGTCATGACGTGATGATATATTACTAATATTTAAAAGAAAAAAGAAGAAAGAAAGATCCATTTCTGTTGAAACTGCATTTGACTGAATTGCACTACAAACAAAGGAGCGCGAAACAATCACGTCTGTACAAGTTTTTGGCGCCAAAATCCAGCCGAATACTTTTGCCTAATATTCGGCTATTCGGTCAGGGGCCTCGCCGAATATTCGGTATACTGCCGAATATACTATTCGTTGCAAGTCTAGTTGAAACACCATTTAAGTACCTTTTGCCCCGACTTATTAATAAATTGCCGCCAGAATTACAAGACAGCATCACACATATGAATGTTAGTACATAATACTATGTTTTAAGTTATGCAATAAAAATGTAAACTCCGATAGCGCAGTATAAACCTTAGTGGTTTTAGATGTTATCGCATGCCATTGTTTAATGATATTTTGAATATGGTAATAAATAAAAAAAAAGTATACAGCTCGATTCATCCCATGTCGCGATGCTGGGTTTATTTGGGCGTTATGCCAACCGTCTAACCAGGTGATCAGCAACTGTTCACAAAGTGTATATCTGGCAGCATAAGTAATCTCCGATTTACCCTTATCTTATCGGATGCGACTGTTGGTCCACGGACTGGGTGTTGCTCAACATAGACCCAGTGACCCTAGTGTGATAAAGCCTTAGGGCCTGCGATCACTACTAAAACGGTATGGCAAACAAGTGATTCAGTAAAGAAAAGAATGCAACTTATTATACGAATCATATGATTTTCATTTCAAGTATGCTACATACTGCAGCATATTTAGTACCAACGGTTTTACTATTATGTTCTTAAGTTATATTAATAACTAGCTGTGCCCCGCGGTGTTACCCGCGGCTTATTAGGGATATTTTCCCGCAGTAAAAGTAGCCTATGAGTTAATCCAGGGTGTCAGCTAACTCCATACCAAACTTTATTAAAATCGCTTCAGCCGTTTAGACGTGAAGAAGTAACAAACATACACTGTCACACACTCACAAACTTTTGCCTTTATAATATTAGTGTGATATTCGTCGCATCCCTTGTCCTACCATGACTTGACCTTATAGAAGGCAGGCCATCTCCAGAGATAACTACTAAGATTTATCAAGAAATTTGTTTAATAAAATTAATATAAAATGAAACAACGTCTAAAGCACATTTTAGTAGTTTTATTTTTGGTAAAATTTACCACAATACAAAATAATTAGAAATAAATAAAGTAATAAAATGTATAGACAGGTCATAGAACTATGCATTGTAAAATTGGTGCTTTTAAAGCAATTTAAATATAATTTCTAATAACATTAAGCAAAATGGCATTGTGTACATTAAAATAAAAGCATTTTAAAAATAGAAAATAATATCAAAAGCAGATGTTTACATTTATTCTTAACGCAAATTGATTCATCACTTGGTGATTTGGTCTTTTAAATATGATGTACATAGGACTAACAGAATGCACACTCGCACATTAAAGCGTATTATTCCAACGTCACAATGTCGTTTCAAACGATGTTACAAAACAATTCACAATTCAAATTTTTTTTTGAAATAAATTGATAGCAAATTTCATGATAAATACAATACACAAGAAAAAGGAGTAGAGAAACAATGAGGTGTATAAAACATTTTTTTAATAAAAATACATGTTAATCATAATTCATTTCTGTACTTTGTTTTATTATCTCAACTCGATGTAAATTATAACATTCACATTTGTTATATCAAATGTAAACAATCAACAATTCGCAATCAATTATCAAAAGAATATAAATCTACATTCATAACACTGTATACACATCATAGTATATCCAAATTGACATAGTGAGAATGTTGAGACTAGTTTTTTCATTAGACATTGTACTATGACGAGCATCCAGCAGGCATAACGACGCAATGTATGTAATATTTTCAAAACATTTTATTTTTGTAACTATGTCACATAAATAATTCAAAGTAACAAGTGGTTTCATAGAGTCAGTACTTTCCGATCTTTTTAGTTATAATACATAAAACAGTAAATCACAAGCATTATGCTAGTATTTTTTTAGAACATTGAAAATACAAAATACATTACTGACACTAAATTCGATGGGAACCAAAATATTGGTGCTCAGCGATTTTACATACAAATTTTGAAAAGTACTATTCTATAATCTGTTGATCAGACATTCCACACTACTTCAATCTGTTCTATTGTTTATCTTTAAAATACTTGAGGGCAAATATTAATCACCTTAATACTGCTTTGTAGATGCAGCAACAAACTTAGCATATATTTATCCTATGGCATCTGACCCATTGCCTTCTTTTCCCTTTTGTTTCTGCATCTGAATATTATATTACTATGATTGTGAATTATTCAATGCACAATTTACCACTAGCAAAATTATCAACTGGTCTCTGTCTGTGATGACTATTTGTGATGTGTGCCTACAGGTTCAGTCTATAAATGCTCAGAATGAAATGCTAAAACCATCATCCAGTTAGCCAATCAATTCAAGGTTTTTGCATTCCAAACATAAACCGATTTTAAACATGATTTTAAGGCTGTGCTGTATTAAAGCTAACAAATGTGCATTTCTTTTTAAAACGTGCATTAATTGGGAGCACTCAACAATATCCCGCCGTGTCCCCTTTCCGAACAGCAGCAACAATCTCCACTCCCTCCCTACTCGTATGAATATTTTATTATTTACACCACAACATAATATTTCTATAAAATACAACCTACCATTATATGACTACAATAAAACGAATTGTCGCTTAACCTCGTTATTATGACAGATAATTTCTCTTATTTACAATTTACTATACAATACTTGTTAAAATTACTAAAAAGTAACATTGTACTTGTAACTTTGCTACCCTTTTTTGAATGTACTAATTTCATTGTTATTATGTCCTATAATTTACTCTTAAATATTATGTACATTTAAAAAACTATGTTAGTCGAGACTTAGATGATCACAAGTAAAAAGAAGTAAGAACGAAATGAGGAACAAATATACATTAACTATGCACTAACCATCTCATACCCAAATCCGGGGCTAACACATATCACATTAAATTAAGTGTTGACAACACTTAAGCCGTTCGCGAACCATCTAATTTAATACTTACAAAATTTATAAACTTATCACAAAATAAAAATTATATACCACTAATTCCAAATTATACAATCCATCAATTTAAACAAAAACTGGGCAGATTCGAGAAAGAGATCATTATAAGATTCAAACTTCATTTGTCCAATTCACAGCAATGGTAATAAAACAAGATGTAAGGTGGGTATAATGGGATATGTGAATTTGACTTATTGTCTTAAATACATAAATATGTACACGAAAAATTATCGTCAACCCAGTATTTCAATTTGTCACAATCATTTCCTAATTCCAATTTCTTAGAATTAAGGAGATCCATCAATATTCAACTTTCCTAATCGCCATTTCCACTATATCTGGGAGGTTGCTTCGCTGGTCCGATTCGTTATAGTTCGGGTAATTTCCAGGAGCAAAACTAAAATATTTATAATGTGTTGCGGCGGCTGAGTCAGTAAAAATCATATTTCGAGCCAAATAAAGCACTTCGCGCACTACATCTCATCCGATGATAATTATCCATTTATGCTCTTGAGCATCTTGAAGCAGCAACGCTGCACACTTTCGTTGTGTTTACTCATTATACAACACCTGGCCTCTCAGTACTATCAATACACAAACATATGAATTAATTGATAAAAAACCGTCATTACCCAGTGAAGAAAACCAACACGATCTAGTAGAAAAGGCAAGCTTACACGAGAACTTTTCGATTTCCTAGAAATAAACGTCTAATCAATGTACTTTTATAATTATGCTACAATACAAGCAATGATACTCGATAATTTTTTTAGTGATGTTGAATAGTCCTTTGTTCTACACGTAAACCCTTAATTGACACTGAAATCACACTCACGTGTCCTTCAGTTGAGGTACTTGCGGCATTTCTTGGCGCCACACGTGCATGGTATCTTTATCTCTTCGAAGGGGAACTTGTAGTCGTATGTGAGTTCTTCGCCGACAGTAATACGCCGGAGGGCGAATATCAAGATGTGTTTGTGACCGTGTATATCGACGACACGAGAGTAGCAATTAGGCTGAAAACAAAATGTTTCAATGAGAACAAGATACCAAATAAGCCAATTCTTCTTTCTTTTCTTATGCTAGACAACAAGCAAAAAACAAATACACCCTGTCCATAATTTTTCAGGCCAAGACTTGCATGAAATACTTATATTTTTTTCAAATCGCCTACAAAAGTGGCCACCAGAAAATATGGATAATGGGATTGGTGCTTTTGAATTCGAATTTGTACGCACAATACACGCAAAGCGAAGGGGGTTGCTTTAAAATGCTCAATACATTTCAATTAGATTTTACATTTTATCCATAGGAGATAGAAAATGTTTATGATGAATTATACATTTGAAAAGGTTTCTATCTTACGAGGACGCTGACATTTGCTTATGGATCTCAACTCGGCAGCGCTCCCTATTCCCATAAACATTTATTTACGCATAATACTGCAAAAGAATAGGTTGGACTAAATGCAAGCAGAAATAACTCGGCCTACATCTATCTGTGTTACTCAAAATAGTGGTAATGATGATAATGTTCTCCAATTGGAATGTGTGTACCGGTGACAGGAAGATTGAATGTAAACAGGAGATGTAATGAGATGAGAGACATATGTGATAAAGAGGGTGTAGATAGACTTACAGGGAAGAAGGACTGAAGAAAACATTCATAAACTATATGAAAAAGGTAAAGTTTGAGATGCCGTCATCTCGTACTCGTACAACTTTGCGTACAGTCGCTGTACGCAAACAATGGAAGGGAAAGATGATGAAAGTAGAGTAGTACATCTGCACAATTTTGACGGTCCCAGTGTAAATCATCGAACTCAAAACTACCTATTATTCGTGGAAATTCGTTAATTTGTCATTTAGATTAAAAATTAATGTCTATTTGTACATTTTAATCTATGAGGAAAGTAAATGTATTTTCATCCCACCACCTCGGAAAGTGTAATTTTGCGCTTCGAAATCTGGCTGGAAAATTCTATTTTATTCGCTTGAGCGGCAAAGTAGATTTGAATTTAGAACATCACATATAATGAGTACTCAATATAATTGTAAATTCAAAACGTCATTAAACCTATTTAATGTAACCTCTATGGTGCCAAATTTATGATTAGAACTTTTTAAATTGTGAAAAAATTTAAATTTGGAACCTTCTTGGTTTCTTTGTTTTATTTGCGTGCTTCGCGCCATTCTAGTTTTTCACGTTTTATTGCTTAATATAATTAACATAACCTAAAAACTGTACAAAAAAATCAACTAAAATGAGTGACATTAGCGACGATGAAGTTTATCTAACGCCAACTGAGTTAACTGAAACAGTTAATAATGCGCAAATGAGCCTTCTCCCTCAGCAATCACGAGAGAAGTATTTGAAACAGTACGATATATTTAACATGTGGCGACTAGCTAAAGGAGCAAAAACTTTCTCCGAAAACGTTTTGCTGGCATATTTTATAGAATTATCTGAGACCAAGAAAGCAAGCACGCTATGGAGTACGTATTCAATGCTAAAATTAACAATTAAGATGAAGAAAGACGTTCATATCGACACCTATCATAAATTAGTGGCATTTTTAAAAAGAGCCTCATCTGGTTATAAACCAAAAAAATCGAAGGTTTTCACAGCATCTGAAATTGCAAAGTTTATTAATGAAGCACCTGATTCCGTATATTTAGCGGCAAAAGTAAGTCAATACGTGTAATTTTTTGTTGTTGATAAAATTGTACATAGTACTTACAATATTTTTAATTTGATTAATTTATTTACGATTATAAATACTTCTTTTGTTACAGGTTGTTCTTATTATTGGTATAACCGGAGCATGTCGAACAAATGAACTTACACTACTTAATGTCAATAACGTATCAAAATATTCTCATAATTCTGATGAATTGCTATTAATTAATGTACTAAATACCAAGACAAAAAAAGACCGCAACTTCGTTATTCGCAAGGAATATGTAAACATTGTTCAGAAATATCAAGCTTTACGTCCTTCTAACACCCCAATTGAACGATTTTTTCTACAATATCGCAACGGAAAGTGTATCCGACAACCTATGGGTCAGAATAAAATTGGCAGTATTCCACGAGAAATAGCAACTTTTCTCGGACTTTTAGAACCCCCGTTATACACCGGTCACTGTTTTAGAAGAACCTCAGCCACACTTTTGGCCGAATCAGGGGCTGATCTTCTATCGCTTAAGCGCCATGGAGGCTGGAAGTCTAATTCGGTTGTAGAGGGATACATAGAGGATTCAATCCAAAGTAAATCAAAAATTTGTAATAGTATCGTGGAGGCCATAACGCTGAAAGAACCTCTGTCAGATTCTTGGTCTCGCCCTTCTACATCTAAAATGAGCCCCCATAAGATTGGAAACAATAGCCCTCTCTCGCCAACATTTACGCCAATAGAATCCAATGAATCGGCACAACTATTTAAAATTACTGATACGAGTAGTTTACCACAAAACAGCGCACAATTCACAAACACCAACATAACATTACCTAACAAAAATATTAAACTTAACATAAGTAACTGTAGCAACGTTACATTTAATATTTCTTAATTATTTTCTACTTCTTATTATTTTCTTCAATTTATAGATTATCTTAATGTGTTTTAATTGAAATAAAAATATTTTGTCATTATAAATTGTTTTCTTTTTCATTTTGTCATTTCCTCGCTGAGGTGGGATGAAAAGTTACGTATTGCACTCGAGTGGAAAGATTTTTCACCTTGTGCTCGTTTGTTTCCCTCGCTGACGCTCAGGATTCTAATTTAGAATCACTCGCTGCGCTCGTGATTCAACTTTAGAATCCTTCGCTTGCTCGGTCATCCAAATCGAGCACGCGGTTAAAAAGGAACTTTCCACTCTTGTATAATAAATAACTATTATTTTCCTCACAATAACTACTGACTCTTAAGAAGACGATTTAACAAAAAAGAAGAAATACGTGAGTATCGTGGCACACTTGGTTGGAAAGAAGTTAAAAATAATTGTATTATATTAAAACTAACAATCCAGCCAATATTCCACCAAAAAAATGTATGAGCAGATTGGACCTAGTGCCCGCCCCTATTAATCTCAATTCTATCAATTAAAAAAGTATCCTACCCACCAATCCAAAGTGGGGCCGCGTGGTGCGTAATGGCCAGATCCTGGAATTCCGTCAACTATTAAACAACACTTTAACTAAGCCACTGCTGCCAGTGGTGGGCAGCCGCCCATCTAGCTGTCCAGCTAGCTGCCTCGCTAGGTTGTGACGGATAAATCTTACAAGTTTTTCGCTTAGCCCCCATTCGCCGAAGGGAAATTCGCTTCAAAAACATATCATTTAGAGTTTCGATGATTTATATTGGTAGCGATAGAGGAGCTCGATGGCGCAAGTGGTTAGCGCGTTCGGCTACGATCGTTGAAGTGAAGCAACTTTCGCAGTGGTCGGTCATTGGATGGGTGACCAAAAATTTACTACCTCGAGCTCCTCCGTGCTTCGGAAGGCATGTTAAGGCGTTGGTCCCGGCTGCATCTGCAGTCGTTAGCACCTACCAATCCGCACTGGGCCCGCGTGGTGGGTCATGACTCGATCTCCCTATTCCATCCATAAGGAAGACCTGTGCCCCAGCAGTAGGGACATCAATAGGCTGGTGATGTGATGATGTGATGTGACATTGTTAGTGTTTGTTTCGTAATTCAAACTCACATCACAGGAATGGTTGATGAATCTCGCCGCGTTGCCCTTGAGGGTGGCGTCCACCACTAAGTTGTCGTCGATCCGAAACATGTAGCAGCCGCCGACGCCACGCCGCCCGCTCATCGCCTCGTACCGCTTCTCGCGCTGGTCGGCCAGGACTGCGCGTATCACTTCGCCCGCGTATTCGATTACCATGTCACCTATTATATAACATAATAGTAGATATTCAATACGTTGAAACAAAGAAAAACGCTCTCGTGAAAAATCCGTAATCCGTAAATCACAAGAAATTTTTTAATAGATAAAGCCTGTCGTTCAAGGGGGTTCTACTCTCTTTCTACGAAACAAACTTACGGTAACGAACAGAGTTCAAACGAAATTTATTTTTTTCAATTTGAGGTAATCATTTTAACGATAAACTATCAAATATTTCGTTGAGGTGGCTTGAGAATCTAAACCTTAATATATTTTCCGGCGAACGAATATCATTATAATTAGAAATAAATAAGATAAAATACGAGCTAAGTTTGATCGAAATTTGGTTTTTTAGAAATTTATAATTAAGTGGGCCAGGTAGGCTGGATTCGAACCTGTGCTTTCTGTTATTCAAGCGAACGCGCTAATATATAGTAGATTATACATTGATAGGAGATTATACAGCTCTCCATGAAACGCTGTCTTTTACGATATTATATGTATACAGGATTTGGACGTGTATTGTGTCATTGTCTATGTGCGAGTGTCGTAATTACCCCCCTTAGAATGTTGCTGTATGATTTTATTGGTAGAAAGAATAGATTAGAAGCATGAACAATAAAAGAAAATATACGACGAAATGTGTTTAAAGTCCACTTGCAGCAAATTCGCTAAATCACAATTCAATCAAAACAGTCAATTGACATTATTGTATGGGCTTAATATTCAAAATTTAAAAAAAAACAAAATTCAATATCGTTTATTCAGTCTAGGCTGTTAGAAGCACTTGTGAATGTCGAAAAGCTAAGCCATCGGTTCGCAAATCTACGGCGGGAGACCTTGTACTGAGAAGAATCGGCAAGAAACTCAGCAAGGGCTGTTTTTTTCTCCCTGTATTACGAGTATATACAGAGTCGACAATTGACTTCAATATGAGGTAACTCATAAAGTCACTTTCCATTACAAATGCAAATAATATAAAAATTATGACTATATAAAAAACTGGTTTAACAAAATTTAGAAATGCCGTGTCCTACTGTTTAGGCAAAAAAAAAATAATATTGTTTATGTAATTGAGATTAAACAAAAATATTGCTGCAAGTCGACCTGAATATGGCAACTATATTACTTTACACATTTATTTTTACACATGCGCCAACCTGAAATACAATATTATGTAAATTTATCTTACCTTCTTCAATATCTCGTTTGCAGAATAGTCCTCGCCCGTGTATATGTGATCTGTAAACACCGACTGAAACCTTAGATGTTTCTTTCAGTTGTCTAAACCTCATTGCTGGTGGGAGAGTAGCTAAACGCCTGAAAGAAATGAAGTGAGTAAAGATAATTGCTAGTAAATATATCAATATAATATAACCATAATAACAAAAAACAAATACCTCGAAATAGAACTCTCTCCATCTTGTCCTCCGAACGGCGGGGGTTCTTCCCGGAATGGTGATGCCATCCAACTGAACATATCATGATTTTGTTTCCTTATAATAGGTCCAGTCCGGGCGCTACCCCAAGGGCTTTCCTTGAAGCCTTCACTCAGGTCTAAATCGTTGTCCCAACTGTTGAGCTGCCGACCTTGCCGAATCTTATATTTGGTACAGCGACTTGCCTAAAACATTGATAATTAAAGGTGTATAAGTATTTTTTATTACAGAACATTTTATTCAAAATTTCAAATACATAATGAATATTTACCCCTGGTAGTTGCTCAATGAGATATCGGAGCGCGTTGTTATTGAGTCCCAGTAAATGTGCTCCAGATAGACTTGATGGTAAATTGTAGTTAATTAATGGCAAACCATTTTGTTTTCTTGCGTTTTGAACAGCTTCCACAACTTTTGCCCAAAGATCAGTTAAAGATGATGAAGAATAATTGAATCCATCTTCAGATGTCACTTCATATATCAATTTTGGTCCATCATCTTTAGAAGGGTCGGGTGTTTGTTTTGGCAGTGTTGACTTATTTTCCTGACCTTTTGATGTTTTGCTTTGCTTTTTCGTCAAAATTGGTTCAGATTCAGACTTTTTATCATTAAAAGGTCTCTTCATAACTTTGCTAGGAGCATTTGATATTTTGCCTGGTACAGAATTTCTGTTTGTGTCTTTTTCGATCAATGGCTTTGGTGGCAGTTCAGCCATTTCTGAATCCAAGCTTGGCAAAGAATTAATTTTAGTATTAACTTCCATATGAGTGCTACCATGCGTGTTTGTACTCTCAGCTGGAGCCGAACTTGTGTTGGCTTGGTGCGTTTCCGTGGATAGCTGTATTGCCCGAGACACAACTTGATCCTCTTTCTTCCTTTTAGCTTGTTCTAATTCCATCATACGTTTGGATTCTTCTATTGCCTTTTCTAAGTCACTGTCGATAGTTTCATCTTTAATATTCAAATCTGGCATATCGTGACTTACTGGACGTTTTGGTACTGCTGATGTTTTTGTAGAATTCTTTGACTTTTGTCCATCTCTATGTAAAGGTAATACTCTGTTCATAGGTCTCATTGACATTGGATTTACAACATTTGTTGGAATGCCTGATTGCTGAGTTGGAGGAGCTTTTGGTAACGTAATACTGGAACTATTTTGTGTTGGTAAATTGATGGGATTATTTTGAACAGGTATGCATATCATGTTTCCAGATCCGTTGTTTGGGTTTTGTATCATATTAGTATTAGCTTGAATTGGGAAATTAATGTCTGCATTAGCTTTTGAGGCTATCTTAGGATCAACAAGATTGTTCTGAACAGTAATATTTACAGTGTTATTACTAGAATTCACGTTTATATTCATTGGAGCACTGTTAGGTATAGCTTGAAAGGGCACGTTTATCATGGTACTGCTATTTTCACTCTTTTGTTGGAACGACAAAGGTTCTGCAGATATTCCAGTCACATTACTATTACTGTTATTTGTAACTACACGAATATTGTGTTGCTGTGGTACATGTTGGTTAATGTTATTTTGTACGTTTGAGTTATTTAGGCGATTTCTTTCAGAAATTATTATATTGTTTTGTGAATTCATTTGCATGTATCCTATTTGATCACTTACTGAAATATTGTGATTTGATTTTTCATTGCTTACAATATTTACCTTAGCACAATCATTGTTAGAAATATTAGACATTGAAATGTTGCTGCTTGGCATTGGACCCATGACATTCTTTCCTCTTATTGACTCTGGAGGGAACTTAGGTGATTCATTTATACTGTTCCTGTTTATTTGTGGATCTAAATTACTCATCTGATTTTGAGGTCCATTATTCGTGGACAAATTACAATTACTTATATTAATTGGAGAATTACTAGGAACTTGCGAGTTTAACATTTGGTTTTGATTGTTATTGGAATGAGTCTGTGAAGCAGTCATCATCATGTGATTACTGTTGCTTGGCATAATATTGTTAACACTGTGATCAGATGAGTTGTTGCAACTCATTAGCATATCATGTCCAGTAATATTGTTTTGACCACCAGAACCATATAAGGAATTGCTGTTTACTGAATTCATCATCATATTGTTCGACATATTTGAACTATTCATGTTCATACCATGCATCATATTACTAGCACCCATGTTCATGTTGTTGTTGGAATTTAAATTATTACATTGCATCTCAAATGAATTTTGATTATTTGTAAATTGCGAAGAATTATTTGAACAGCTCCCACTACATGAATTTTGCATTTCATTCTTTATATCTGGTGTAACATGCATAAGAGAGTTAGTCATTGATTGATGATTTGTGGTGTTCATTTGCATAGCACTGTTCATACTACTGTGCATATTCATATTGGTAATCGAGTTCATATTATTCATTTGGTGTTGCATCATAGATGAATGTTCAAGTGAGTTTCTATTGTTCTGAATTTGATTCATAACATTCATATTCTGTATGCTTACAGTGTTAGTTTCATGTCTGTTGCCATGCATATTTGACATTGTATTAGTATTATCCATCTGATTGCCCAAATTCATACTATTATTTCCAGACATGTGATGCATGTGCATACTATTCTCCATCTGTTGTCTGTTATGCATTTGATTAGAAACATGTTGATGCATTCCTATCATATTGTTATCTATATGAGACCGATTGTTCTGCATCTGCATTACATTTGACATCTGATGTTGATGATGGTGACCAACATTATCTTGCTGTCTATTTTGTTGTAAGCTCATTTGTTGATTTACATGCATGTCCATTTGTTGCCGGGAATTGCTATTCATATGATGATTCATCTGTTGTAAGTTGTGAAGTTGCGTGCCATGCATGTTTTCTACTGGTCGACTGGGATGCATTTGATGCCCCATATTGTTAACATTATGAGCAGACATGTTTTCCATCATCATACGATTATTCTGCAAATTGTTCATATTAGACATAGACTGTTGCATATGCATATGATTCATGTCATTTAGATCACTTCTATTTAAATTATGATTATTTGATATACCATGCATATTTATCGATTGATTTAATATATTGTTACTGTCGGGGGTGCTTCTATTTGACATCATATTATTTTGGCTGTGTGCTTGTTGACCACTTATCATATTATCGTGAAAAGACCTACTTGATGGGCCTTGGCTCAACGGTTGATGTTGGTTATGTTGTTGATTATTCTCTACTTGTCGGTTGTGTTGAATTTGACCACCCATAATATGAATGGAACTAGGTCCTACATGCTGACTGTCATGTTGTATGATTTGCATGTTTCCATGAGGTAAACTGGAGTTATTCATAGCAATGTTTGATATGTCATGAGGTTGGTTATTTTGTTGTAAACTGTTTTCACTTGAAACTGTTATGTTAGCTCTGGAATTTGAAGCTTCTTGACATGATAAGTTTATATTTTGAAGAGAATTATTGCCAGAGTTCATTAATTGCATCTGATTATGAGTCGAATTATTTGAAAGGGCACACATTTGGTTTTGATTGTTTGTAGAATGTTGTTGAATCGACATTAAGTTTTGATTATTTGTCGAATGTTGTTGAATCGACATCGAGTTTTGATTGTTCTGTAATTGTGGTCGCATCACATTGTGTGGTATAATACTGATCGCTGGATTGTTATTTAAGTTTCCAGCTACCTGGCAACTGTTTAATTTATGTATGTTGATTTGGCTTGGCATGTCTACATTATGTTTGTCACTAGGGCCCATATTTTGGAAAGCTTTATCATTTTGAGCATTCTGTTGTGAATGGGAAGCCATTATTTCTTGTGAGAAATTCAAATGTCCACCTTCAGTCTTTGAAAGTGCATTAATTTTACTCAATTTTAATGTAGTGTCAGCATCGAAATTACTGTTCACAATTGAAGATGGTGGATAAATGTTTCCAGCTGTTATTTGAATCACGTTATTTGCTGATGAATGTACTGATGAATGATGGCTTACATTCAGATTCGTATCAAACTGATGAGGATGCAAATTCACACTGCTGTTACTATTTGGCAATGACATCAAACAACTCTGATTAAGTTTTTCAACATCGTTTTGTGAATGGGGTCGCACAGGTCCCATATTGCTTTGAATACTCATTGAAGAACTATTCATATTACTTGTTTTTACAGTCATATTTTGTATTTCTAATTTATTTTCCATGTTGCTTGTGGAGATTGGTGTACTGATTTGTCTCCAGGGTGTGGGTGATTTAATACTCTGAGTCACACTAATGATCGGCATATTAGAAGAACTTGAGTTCTCATGTAAATTTCCACTTATTTCAATCACATGCGAATTTTCCATTTTTACGTTACTTTTACTCAAAGATGGAGCAATAGAACTGGATACAATGGGTTGAGATAGCGGAATAGATTGCATAGAGAAAGATGGAACAGAATTGGGAACTGACTGAGAAATGGCCATAACAGGATGACCAGTTGACGAAACAAGCGTGACATTTGGTGTCATCGAAATAGAACAATTTGGTTTCGAGATCGTGTTTCTTTGTAAGTTCTGTGATGAACTTGATATTGTCATACTGTGTATTTGAGAGGTTATTGGGTTTATAGTCTGCCGTCCTTGCATCATATTTCCCGGTGTGCCTTGAGAGCAAACAGCTATAGGCGACGGACTCATCTGAACAACTTTAGGTGTTTGCCTATTATTATTAGATGATTTATCAGGCAGAGGCTGTAATGTCAAATTCGGTATTGAAGCTTTTGCGTTCTTCATTGTTGGTGGCGATGATTGAACAGATTGTGCGGTAACTACATTAGGTGCAGAAGAAGCTACTTGTGTCACGCTATCTCCGACATTGTTGACAACTACATAGCCTGTAGGCACCTCAACTATAGGTTCTATTTTACTCGCTTGGAACACTTGAGTAGTTGTAGCTGAAAAACTACTGTTTTGTGCCAGAACACCTTGCATTGCAGTCGATACAAATTGTTGGGAAGACATCACTGTGTTTTGCACTATCGTTTCCAAACCATAATAAACAGGCTGTGTAGTAGTTAAATACATGCAACCTGATGGATCTGTGACCATTTCCAAGGTTGGTGTGGAACCTAGAAGCACTTGATCATTGCAGAATTGAGGCAACAATGTTCCCTGAGGCAATATGGTGGTACCAGGAGCAGGAGATATTAGCGTATTTCCTTGCGATTGTAAAGCGTTAGGTATTATAGTTTGTCCATTGCCAATTCCGCTTTGGGGAACTACTGTTGCACCAGCAGTTTGCAATGTATTGTTGGGCAGAAGAGTTGCTGTTTGAGATGTTATATTTCCTGGACCCAGACCTTGTATAGTTCCTTGTGGTATTATGGTGGTACCATTTTGGGTATGAATTGCTTGCGGCAAGATAGTGGGTCCATTAGGCCCTTGTGATAATATTCCTTGCTGTATTGTGCCTTGTGGTAAAATAGTAGCACCTTGCTGAATGGCCTGAGGAAGAATTCCGACATTTCCTTGTGGCAGCAATACTGGTATACCTCCACTAGGTACAGCCACTAATCCACCAGATTCAGTTTGTTGTATTTGGAAAGTTTGTGGCATTAGACCACTTTGTGAGATGAATTGAGTAGGTCCTTTGAAATCGCCCTGAGGTGCAATCGTCGCAATGTATTGCATATTTTGATTTTGTTGTTGAGACAGTGCTTCGACATAAGCAGACATTATATTTTGATTTGCGACTGGTTGTACAATTATAGATGGTTGACCTGTTTGATTATTGGTTTGCAATTGTATGACAGTATTTCCAGGTCCTAATGGTTGATTAATTGTTGTAAATGTCTTTTCAAGTTTTGTTTGTCTTTTGATAGTTGGTTTTGGGATTGGTCGAGCTCTGCCTCTATTCGCTGGTTGGAAAATTGGTTTCGGTTGAACAGGGGCCGGTTGTTTCTTGGGCGACTTTTGGGGAGTACTTGGCATTAATATTTGTTGCTTATTTTGAGTATTAGGTGATGCAAGTCGTTGCGCTGTCATGGCTGGTACAACAATTGTAGGATTGCCTTGGATTTGTGGACGTATCATAGGTTGAATATTTTGTATAATAGAAGTATTCGGCATCGAATTTACGGGTAAGGCGATTGATGACGCACTAGCCATATTAGGAAAATTGGATATTTGATTTTTCCCTTGAATCATTGACATATTTCCTTGGTTTGATGGTATTGCCAAGACTTGATTAGGATTAGACGATATAACTTGTATCCCTCCTGTTCCCGATAGCAATTGGGCCATATCGCTCCCTTGAATCTGCTGTATATTAGTACCATTTCCTGGTTTCACGCATATATTGTATGGGAGTAATGAAGGTTGCGTTATGATCTGCGGAGCCATTATTTTCTGTCCGCCAGCAGTACTAGTTTTCGGAGGAAGTATCATTTGAGGAGTCACTACTATTTGTGGGGAAGATAACACTTGTTGACTCGCCGAAACCTGAACATTAGTAGTTTTTCCTTGATCAAAGATTACAGTGCCTGATTTCATTTGCTCTGTTATAGTCATTGTCATTTCATTTGCTGGGCCGGGCGAAGGTGTCTCTACGATCGTTCCGTTGATTGTGATTTGTCTAGTGTTAATCGAGGTTCTTCGAGCAGATATGCTTTCGGCCTTAACGGTGTTTTCACTTCCACTAACAACCCCAGCATGTATAATCATAGGTTGCGCAAATGCTCCTTGGAAAGCATTTTGTAATGTTGTCAATGTCCTATTCTCTGGAGATTTTGGGTTCTCACTCTCACTTTCACTTGTAGACATCATATCACAACTTGGGATATGTCTGTCATACGATTCTTTATTTCTATAGGTACATTGGCATCTGTCACATCTTACTGGTTGTTCCATTTGTCCAGGTACATTTATACCATCTATTGGCCTCATAACTAGTTCTGGTTGACCATTTATTGAATTGCCTGCAATAGTAACTGTGTATGTACTCTCAGTTCCACTAGCTCTATATAAAAATTGATTCGGTGGATTTCTTGAACTACCATCGCCGCCAGGATGGTTTTCATCAGCACCGTCTAGCTGAGGTATTGGTGAGAAATCATCATCGTTTCCTCTCGGACTATTTGGTCTTGAGCTACATGTACTTTCTGAGCCTGACCAATCTGCTGCTCCATCTAACTGGGATATGGGGCTGCACTGTATTTTGGTGTAAAAATCAATGACGTCTGTGTAATATCCTTCACTTTTATCGGTCTTCTCTGTAACATTCTCTACTTTTTCTTTTGGAGATGTATTACAGTAGTTTAATCCTGATGTATGTGGTGCCTCTTCACATAAACTATTACTGGTAACAGTCTCAGGTTTAATCTTCTTTTCAATACTGTCCGTTTCTGGCTCCTTTATTGCGTCTAATGAGTTCTCTAACAATGCAACACGCTGAACAGGACTAAGTTTTCCTGTCACAGTTGAAGACTTTCCCATTTTACACCGTTTTATGGTTGAGGACAATAAACTTGTATCGAATTTATTATTCCATGTTAGGCTGCTAGATCTTTGCTGTCCTCGACCCGTAGTCAATGTTTTAAGGCTGTGGTTTTGTAAGAGCATTTCAGATTTACTTCTTTTTAATTCTTTGTTACCTGATTCTAATCTCGCATTCAGCAATTCGTCAATAAAATCAGATTTATCGTTACTTCTGTCATCAGATTGGCTCATGGCACAGTAAAACTCATTTTTCAAGTCTTGGAATATATCTTGCATAGATATGCCATCTAACAGGTCGTGATTAAGGTCTTCAAATATAGCATCTTTTACTTCTGGTGGAAATAGATCTGCCGTATTCTGAGGCTCCTCATCATCTTGCTGCTCTTGTCTACAAACATTTTCAAGAAGATATTCAACAACTTGTTTCACAGCAAGATCTTCTAAAGTCATGTTACTTCCAAATTTTATAGGAGATTTGTCACTTTTAAGCATTATTACAGTTTTACTGGAAGCAGTTTCTATACTTTCATGCCAAGCACCAATTTCAGCCATTACTCTTTCCACAATGTGTACTTCGTTTGAATGATCCACTGTGATGTTCACACCAAAATCAAATCCAGGCAATGGCTCAGCCAATATCAACTTTGTTTTGATTGTGTATCTGACTATTTTGGATGGTTTTTTGCTTGACCAGAAGAGTCGAGTACACGAAAAGTCAACAGGCATCAAAAAATCTTCGTAATCAGATACTGATGGCACAATCTTCCCAAGACTGTTTACAATCAAGGAACCAAGAATAAACTGTACTTTACTTATTTCACTGTATCTCTTCTTTTTCTTATCTAATTCCACATAGACAGGTCTGGTGAGTTCAAAATCTGTATCTTTTTGTAAACTTTTCATAGGAATGTCTTTGCCATGTGGAGGGCAAAAAACTCTTTTGTCATCCAAGAAAGCACATTGTTCTTTCCGAGCACAAGCATAATGGTAAGTTTCGCTACAATTTTTCGCACAACAACCTACACTAGCTCCTTTCAATTCGCAAGCCGCACATTTAATCATCTTTCCTCTGGATATAGCTGAATGAACATTTTGCAAGGAGCCATCAATTTCTTCAAAAACTTCAGCTGACCATAAAGCACAGTTAGCATGAATCCAGTCATTTTGACCACAGTACAAAAGTCGCCCTTCCATAGCAGGGGAGCCGTCACCAACACCTTTACATAGAATACAAATTCTCGAATCTAAAACTGGATAAAATTCTAACAGATCTTCTTCTAACTTTTGTCCATCTGATTCTAATTTAGGTACTATTTGATCTAGAGGTCTCTCAATCAAAGAAACAGCAGCTTTGATGCCTTTGCTGTCAGACATTTCATGATCTTTTAGAGATTCTGAATCATCATATTCTCCATCTACTTCCAAATTAGGCTGTAAACAGTTACTTTCACAGTCAAACCACGGAAATGTTTCTGAGAACAAATCTTTGTATATCGTTTTTAAGTCTCCACTTAATGTTCTCTCAATAACAGCTTTCATATCGTGATTAAAATCTTTTAGTGAAACATATTCATCATTGTTTACCCTTTTCTTTATATCTAACAATGAGGGTGATACTATTCTACTCATATCATCTGTATCATGTAGACTAGACGTTGATTGTCTAACAATAGCTGGACTCAATTCTTGTTCACTGCGAGCTGGATGAAATGATTTCATTGGTTCATCATCATCCGAGATAGCCTCATATTTATCATCATGTACTGTAGTTGGCAACATAGTAGTTGCTTTTTCATACTTAGTCTGTGGTGGATAATTCTCATGAACTTCAACACAAGGTGCGTCAAATTCAGTTTTTGTCCCATAGAGACCCGTAGAAAAGCAGATCTCTTTATTTTGCATTAGAGGTTCTTGTAAGTTTACAACCTTGTGAGATTGATGTGGTATATCTTCCTTATTCATTTCAACATCACTGAGCAATGAAGAGCATTGCCATATTGTCTGAAATGAATGGGGATCATCGCATTTTGTCTGACCAAAATTATTACGCCGCCCTCTTGCAGTATTTCTGTAGACTTTAGTCTCTGTTGTATTCTTCATCGCATCCTCTGCGCCGTCAAAGTGCAACTTTCTTATCGCTTGCGGGGATGTTATCCTGTATGGTTTATTGGGTACTGGGGTATTTTTGTGCGGAGTGAGTTTTAGCAACGCACAAGCCTTTTTGTTCTTGGCAAGAAGCTTTAGTAGATGTAAAAGTCGCCCTTTTAGGTGTTCCGTGAGCATCTTCCTCCATGGAGGGTCGTGAGGCATACACTTGCAGCAGATGTATTCTATGGACGGGGGTAAAGCTGAGAGCAGTTGATAGCCTTCACCTGACAAACCTTCACAGCTGGCATGTACCCATCTTCCACACCAACCACACTCCATCATCTAGAAATAGAAAATATTATATGTTCGTAGCAGTTTGACTATTACTAAGCTAGTAAACATCAAGGCAGTCTCAATTTAAAATGACTTATTTATGTTTTTTTAATAATTAAACTTTACTTAAGTTAAGCTAGTAAACATCTAGGCAGTCTCAATTTAAAATAACTTATTAATATATTTTTTTAATAATTAAATTTTACTTAAGGTATATCAAGATAAGCCATAATTTCATGAATTGGAGTTATACCATCTTGTGCCTTATAAGAAAGATCGGCGAGAGAAACCTATTAGTTGAATTGAAATAAAACAATTGTTATTATTTATTTATTCCTGTTTGGAAGTTATTAACATATAAAGTTTCACACATTTATAAATAAAAACTTACCTTGCTATCAAAGTCATTGTCCCTGTAGCAGGCTTGACAAAGCGGGCAATAATTTCCTTTTTGACGCAACTTGAAACACGGTCCGCAAAACGGCAGGCTCCCCACAAATTTACTGACTCGACTGCTGTCGCAACTTTTGCACTTCAAACACGCGCTGCATATCTGGTAAATAAAAAAGTAGATCATTTAAATCAATCTTTCTCAAATTTGACGATTACACCTTGGAAGCTAGGCGCCGACAAGAGGTAGCAAGATCCGACGAGAATTGAGGGATGCTGAAGAGAGGCGTCACCTGATTTGTGTTATATTTTTCTATATTGGTTTTATGAAACTAAGGCCGTATACAGAAAGAAAGCTGGTAGCCTACCAGCCCTTATAGGAACCGGTTCGCGCAGATAACCGGCGCCGGCATTTCTATGGACCAGCGCTGATAAGCACCGAACGTCGCCGACAAGTTCCGACAATGTTCGACAAGCGCTGGTCAGCGCTAGCACCGCCCTTTGAAATTAATGAGAAAATGTTTCAATCTGCTTCCTTTATGCAACTTTATGTGTAACTTTAATCATTTACGCAGCGCACGCAACGGAAGCTCACAAATGGAATATTTTTACCCGTTTTTGCAACATTTTACATCGATACTCCGATCCTACTGGTCGCAGCGTAATATTATGTAGCCTTAAGCCTTTCTCAATAAATGTACGATCTAACAAATCACTATTTTTTTTATCAAATCGGACCATTAGTTCCTGAGATTTGCGCGTTCAACCAAAAAAATTGTGCATTCGGTACAACGGGTCCTAAAGTATGCAACAAAATTTTCACTATCAGTAAATTGAAGGTATTTATAATTATATTTAGAAAAAAGAATTATATAAAGAAATTCATTGTGTATAATACAAGCCTGACAACAAAAACTATAGTCTTCCTACAATACAGCTCTACACCGAAGCGGAGCGAGGGCGGGCTACTAGTAACAAAATAAAATCGTGAGCTATAGCGATAGCCAAAGCAATTCCGTTAGGCAGCTGACCACGTGCAAGGGCCGATACCGGTAAGCGCTTGTAGATCGACACCGGTAGCCAGTTGTCTACGTGTATACGGCCAGTGAAAGTAAGAAAGAGAAACTAACTGAAAGACAGTATCGGTGTTATTCCGGCACTGCACTTGGCTATTCGTGTTTGCTATTTGTTGTTATAACTTTCAGGTCTTCTCTTGGGAAACTTGCATTTTCAGGATGGATTTCGAATGTAGTAAACTTCTGTCGCTCGTTTCGCATCAAGATCTCATCATCCTGTTAATTATCGTATATGACTTTTTATCAAGTAAATTAAACATACTTTGGAACGACCGGGGAAAAGGGATGTCAGGTCCTCTCAATGGTGATTTGCATCACTTCGAAAAGAAAAGATATCAGAAAACATACTAGCTCTTCAAAAGTTTGGAATGACAATATTTTGAGATAGTGAGAATTTTCTAGATTAGATGGTAGGGATAAATATTAGATTAAAATATCACTTTTTTTCGGTTCTTTCATTCGTTTAATAAATACACCTCCGATTTAGGACTCTAAACATACATTATTACAAAACATTTCAGTATAACGAATTTCAGTACTGCGAGAAAGAGTAACCTTTAATTAGTAAATATGTGCAACCTTTAAATATTCTTCAATCTTCATGAAATTTGGCCTATATGTCTTTTGTACTAGTGAGACTCCAGGGAAAATCGATTTCATATGAAAATCAAAGTTTTGTAGAAATGAAACACCCTAATGAACCGCTTAGAGTTGTGGAAATACTGATCATGGTCATTGATGATAACCAACGATATTAAAGACCCTAGATACACCAACACGAACAAAATCGTGCCCAAAACCTGACCAAAAGGTAAGGACCAATGGACGATCCACGGAGCTCTGTAAGATGATCGCGTAGTCAAAAACAATATAAGGCATTATTTAAACATCGAAAGTCATCTTTAATGCATACTGTATAAGGTTTTAATTAAAACGCATACGTCAAAGAGTTATGACAGTTCGAATGCAAGCTCGTAAAATTTTACGACTTATTGCTATGTGGTAAAGAATATAAACCTTATTTCTTTGAATCTATGCTCAATTCTAAATGCGCTATTAGCAAGCAATAAATAAATATAATAAAATAGCAGGTACGGACCGTGAGGAAAAGAGACGGCTATATTACCGACCATGCATTTCAATATCACAAATATTTTCTATTAAATCAGTTTATAGTAAGTATTAAAACAAAATTTGCTTCAAATGCCTTAAATTAACAAACATCGATTAGATACCTGTCGAAAAAACGACACTTTGTTGATAAAACCTCGATTGAGTGGTGTTCAAGCACTTCTTGATTGGGACACATTTTGTGCGCACGTGGTGTATCTAGGCAGGGGTGCTCAAACGGTCGACCGTTTAATTAACCGCTTAACCATAATATATGCTACGGTACACCCTACCTAGGTAGGCAGGTAAGTGGGGTGTATCGTGTATGTACGTTTTATCGTGGGAGAGCCACGCAGTAGCTTAGGCTACTGCATGAATGGGCCGGCTCGACCGGAGGAATACCACGACCTCACAGAATACCGGCGTGAAGCAGTACTTTGTGCTGTGTTTCGCCGAGTGAGTGAGGCTACCGGAGGCCCAACCCCCCCCCCCCTTTCCTCATGATGGCGCAGTTAAATAGGACAATACCCCAGGGGGGTACCAGCTTTTTTCACGCTGGAGAATCCCCCTCTGGACGTCCATGCCCAGAACTGTCTCCTTATGGACGTGGACGTCGAGGCTGCCCTTCGTATTCTGGGGAGGGCGAAACCGCGCTCATTACTCAAACTGCTCGAGGCCACAGCAAGCGTCATACGACCCCCCCTGCCATGTTTAACGTGGATTTCTGCAACATCAGGGGCTTACACTCCAACCTTAATGCTGTTCACTACCACCTTCAGACAGTGCAGCCGGCCTTGCTTTTTTTGACTGAGACTCAGATATCCACTCCAGCCGACACCTCCTACCTCCAGTACCCTGGGTATACTTTGGAACATTCCTTTGTACCACGGGCTGGGGTATGTGTGTACGTTAAAGAGGGTATCAGTTTCCGTCGCCTCAGCAACTTTGAAGGTAGGGACCTCTCCATCTTATGGTTACGTGTAGACGTCGATGATCATCCCCGCGTCTACGCCTGCCTCTACAGGTCCCATAGCGGAAATGCCGAAATTGACCGACTCTATGATCACGTCCAGGTGGCTACAGTGCTTCAGCAGATCCCATCATCTGAAATTGTGATCCTTGGTGATTTCAATGCCCACCACTCCGAATGACTTGGATCGCCCACTACCGATCATGCAGGCAGATCTACTCACGACTTCGCCTTGGCTTATGGTCTGACACAACTGGTCACCTCGCCTACGCGAATCCCAGATGTCGAAGACCATACACCTTCACTGTTGGCGAGAGATTAATAAAACTTCCCTCTGGAACCCGCGCGTTTTGGTCTCTTGCCAAGGCTGTTGAAGGAAATTTTTGTAAGCCATCCCTTCCACCCCTGCACAATGGCGACGAATCGATGGCCCATACTGCAAAAGAGAAAGCGGATCTTTTATGCTCACTCTTTGCGTCTAACTCGACTTTAAATGACACATTCACACAAAGCTTAGTGCGTAAAGCACTCTTTTCCCTAGTAATCCACAAGTCGAGTGGGCCTGATGGAATCTCACCAATTGTGCTGAAGACGTGTGCTCCTGAGTTGGCTCCGGTACTAACGCGTCTTTTCCGGCTCTCCTACTCTTTAGGTGTCGTTCCGAACTCATGGAAGACAGCTTTAGTGCACCCGATTCCTAAAAAAGGCGACCGCTCACTCCCTACTAATTATAGGCCTATAGCCATCACCTCCTTGTTCTCCAAGATAATGGAGTCCATTATAAATTGCCAGCTCCTGCGGTACCTAGAGGACCACCAGCTGATTAGTGACCACCAGTACGGTTTCCGTCAGAGTCGCTCGGCTGGTGATCTACTAGTATACCTGACTCATCGTTGGGCAAAGGCGGTCGAGACCAAGCGGGAAGCATTGGCGGTCGGTCTGGATATCGCGAAGGCCTTCGATCGGGTTTGGCACAAAGCGCTTCTTTCGAAGCTTCTTTCTTATGGGCTTCCTGAAAAACTGTGCGTTTGGATCACTAGCTTCCTTGCGGACAGGAGCATCAAGGTCGCAGTCGACGGTGCATGCTCGGACTCCAAATCCGTAAACGCTGGTGTTCCGCAAGGCTGTGTGCTATCGCCTACGCTGTTTCTTCTTCATATCAATTATATGCTTCAAATTGATGGCATTCATTGTTATGCAGACGACAGCACGGGTGATGCCCTATATACCGGCCGCGCCAACATTTCACGGGAAAACGTCATTGAGAGCCGGAACAAACTTATGTCTGAAGTCGAAACTTTGTTAAATCAAGTAACGAATTGGGGCCGACTTAATCTAGTCCAATTTAACCCTACGAAGACACAAGTATGCGCGTTCACCGCAAAAAAAATACCATTTGTCGTATCTCCTCTCTTTGATAACACTCCTCTAACTGCCTCAGCTAGTATTGGAATTCTTGGCGTTGACATATCGAGCGACGTGCAGTTTCGGGATCATTTAGAGGGCAAGGCCAAATTGGCCTCTAAGAAGCTTGGTGTGCTCAATAGATCAAGAATGTACTTCACACCGGCCCACCGACTGCAACTTTATAAGGCACAGGTTCGGCCTCACATGGAGTACTGCTCTCATCTTTGGGCGGGGGCACCGCAGTACCAGCTTCTCCCTTTAGATCGCATCCAGCGCCGAGCGGCTCAAATCGTCGACGACCAGGACCTTTCCGATCAGCTTGATCCTTTGGCTTTGCGTAGGGATGTAGCATCGCTCTGCATCTTCTATCGCATTTATCACAGAGAGTGTTCTGAGGAGTTGTTCGGATTAATACCAGCTGCTGCATTTCACCATCGTACATCGCGACAAAAATTTCATCCCCATCATCTTGATGCGTTTGAGGCTATCCACAACCGTGCGTTTTTGTCGAAATTTTTTACCACGTACGACAAAACTGTGGAATATATTGTCGCCAGCAGTGTTTCCGGACCAATACGACCCAAAAACCTTCAAAAAAAGAACGTACTCCTTCCTTAAAGGCCGGCATCGCATTTGTGATACTCCTGGTGTTGCAAGTGTCCATGGGCGACGGTGATCAGTTACCATCAGGTGAGCCGTCTGCTCGTATGCCACCTATAACATAAAAAAAAAATGTACGACAACCCTGCATCACACATACTTGCAGCCTCTCAGAGTCAATCGTAAGTAGTCTAAAAATTTTGAGGTAGATCGCCAGCAGTTCAAGTTTAAGCACCCCTGATCTAGGGTATTTAATATCATTAATGAAAACAATAAAAACAAACAACGGTGCTATGTAGGATCTCTGCGGAATGTCAGATGATATAGCGAATGGGAATTATGCCCATTCATCACAAGTACCCCTAGCAACGAGCCGCGGCAGCGGCGGCGGGCGGCGGACCAGCCGCATGCGGCGCGCGACGTGTGTGCCGGTGTCTCACCTGGGGCCAGTCGCTGCGGTGGTCGGGAGGTGACGCGGGCAGACAGGTGGCGTGGTAGTGCGCCGCGCACGAGCGGCAGCGGCGGCGGGCGGCGGACCGGCCGCAAGCGGCGCGCGACGTGTGTGCCGGTGTCTCACCTGGGGCCAATCGCTGCGGTGGTCGGGAGGTGGCGCAGGCAGACAGGTGGCATGGTAGTGCGCCGCACACGAGCGGCAGCGGCGGCGGGCGGCGGACCGGCCGCAGGCGGCGCACGACGCACACCGAGCGCAGGTCCATCCGCGCGCGCCCATCGCGTCTTCCGCGCACCAACTGTGATACCACTCGCAGCAGCTCGTACACGCCACCATCTGATAAACACATTTTATAATATTACCATTTATTACATATGATTTATACGCTGATAGTGGTGTCAATTCTGGCATGAATGAATGTCGACTAGCTTTGTACCTGACAGCCTGACACATTGGTTGTGTTTATAGTTTATAGGATGTCAGAGATGGCATTTGTTATAAAGTTAATTGGAATTACTGAGTATACCTATTATTAGAATCATACAAAGTATTTTCAATAATAAGGTTGTTAAAATAATGTTATGAATTTTAATGTATTTTGTTGGTGTACCTTAATAAAACAAAAAAAAAAGAATCTACAGACCTAAAGTTAATTTGACAACAGTGTATCATTATCATTCTCTATACAGAATGAAAGGGAGAGACTGATGTTTAATTTAAGTTAAGATAACCTAAATAGTGGAAACCACATCAGACGTAAACAAAACCTCGAAAATGTGGTTCGGATCCTCAGGGGAGAGGGTACGAGATAATGTGCAACGTAGCGTAAGGGCAGGAAGTCAAAGCTTTCGGAAGGAACTTTAGGGCTGATGAAGGAACGTCGGCAAAGCGGACTCTAAACCAAGAGATCAGTAAGCACGTACGACTCGACCTCCGGTGCTCCAATACTATCCCGATCGAGAGAGCGATCGAGCAAATTCGAGGGTCCAAAGTGTTCGTACAATCTCTTGGAAGAAGCCATCTGACGCAGTTGACCACAGCAAGTGGGGAAGTTGTTGCTTCAAAGTCGGCCGTCCTTTCGGAAGTGGAAGACTTCTACGGCCAATTGTACGCATCACATGCATCTCGACCCGATCCCTGCAATGAGGATTCTAGAGCCACATTAACACGCCACTTCACCGAAGACCTGCCAGAAGTCAGTATTGACGAAATCGAGATTGCTCTTGGACAGCTTAAAAATGGAAAAGCCCCTGGAGATGATGGTATTACAACGGGACTCTTGAAAGCTGGAGGAAAACCCGTACTGAGGGAGCTAAAAAAAACTTTTTAACACTGTCCTGTTCGAAGGGAGAACTCCGGAGGCGTGGAGTAGGAGTGTAGTCGTCTTGTTCTTTAAAAGGGGAGACAAGACCCTACTTAAGAACTATCGACCCACATCCCTTCTGAACCACGTCTATAAGCTGTTCTCAAGAGTGATCGCGAACCATCTTGTTCAAAGACTAACTTGATGACTTCCAACCACCGGAACAGGCTGGGTTTCGGAGCGGATACGGCACCATAGACCACATCCACACAGTACGGCAGATTATACAAAAGACTGAAGAGTACAATCAGCCCCTGTGCCTAGCATTCGATGAGAAGGCCTTTGACTCGGTTAAAATCTGGTCTGTCCTGGAGTCCCTGCAGCGTTGCCAAGTCGACTGGCGATACATCCAAGTGAATAGATGTCTCTACGAAGCCACCACAATGTCTGTCCAAGTACAGAATCAGCAAACAAGTCCCATACCGTTGCATCGTGGAATGAGACAAGGGGATGTTATTTCCCCGAAATTGTTCACTAATGCTGAACAAAGGATATGTTCAAGACGCTGAACTGGAAAGGACGTGGCATCAACTAAAATGGCGAACGCATCTCTCACTTGCGATTTGCAGACGACATCGTCATCATGGCAGAAACCCTGCAGGACCTACAAAAAATGCTGAATGATCTGGCTGACTTCTATACGCATCGGCCTACGGATAAACTTGAATAAAACCAAGGTCATGTTCAATGAACATGTTCTACCGGAACCGATTGCAGTACACGGTGCCGTTCTCGAAGTTGTTTAAAAATATGTGTACCTCGGGCAGACATTGCAGTTAGGTAGAAACAACTTTGAGGACGAGGTGAATAGAAGAATTCAGCTAGGTTGGGCAGCGTTTGGGAAGCTACGTCAAGTCCTGACACAGTGCCTGAAGACGAAAGTCTTCAATCAGTGAGTCCTACCTGTGATGACATACGGAGCCGAAACGTAGACACTGACGGTACGGCTAGTCCAACTCAAAGTCGCTCAGCGCGCTATGTAAAGGGCTATGCTCGGCGTATCTCTGAAGGATCGCATCAGAAATGAGGTAATCCAACAGAGAACCAGAGTTATCGACATAGCCCACCAGATTAGCAAGTTGAAATGGCAGTGGGCTGGCCACATTTGCCGAAGAACCGATAACCGTTGGGGTAGACGAGTTCTGGAGTGGAGACCGCGTCTAGGCAAACGTAGTGTAGGACGTCCTCAGGCACGATGGAGTGGACTAGGATAGGCTGTTGATGAACCTCAATAGCACTGATTCCTTACATTATGCTGCTGATGTAGGTTTGTGTATTTCTCTAGGTAATTGAAACCACAACTTTTCTGAACTCTTTAACAAAGTGTTTCTACATTTTCGGATAATACAATCATGATAATTACTATATTTTTCATGTTCTCTATTAGAAATCATGGTTTCATAATATATTTTTTTTTCCTACGTGCTTGCGAGTGTTTACAAATCTTTTGATGTCATAGCATAGATAAATCTATAAAATAAAATGGCCAATAAAGTTTTTGTAGTTACATGAAAAATCTATATTAAAATTAAAGTTTCAATTTTTAGATCAAAAAAATACAATACATTTTTTCGCTCTAATAGAACAATTATTTACCATTTAAACCATATTTCCAAAAAGTGTCAACTTGCCTATTGTCTGTTGTCTATTGTTGAACAGTGTTGCACCAAAAATTCTAATTAAAAATAAACTTCGACTAATGAGTGGGGAAGCCAGAATATTTAAAGGTTCATCCAAATCCATCCAGTGAATTTTCATGTTTAATTAAGTATAGTCTATTCCAAACGAATTTAGACCAAAGGCCTGTTGTCTAATGGTTGAACAGTGTTGCACCGAAGTCTATTCAAAATTATTTCAATTGACAGTAATAATCGAAAAGTGAATTGATTAAATATAATTTTTATATAATAATAAATACAATTATTCACATTTGTATAATAAACATAAAAGTTGACTACTGTTGAATGAAGTAACTAAACTGAACACAGGACGTTCAACAGGATAATGCTGCGGGCTTGCTAACCGAGGAACCTAGATATTTAATAAATCAGGCGAACTGATTGTTCAGAAAGAGTTTTATTAAGTAACGAAATATAGTTCACTATACAGTTAACAGCCAGAGCTCGCTTTATGAGTAATGACAATAAAAAATTATTAATAATACAAATTAAGCCTTATAGATTTTTAAACTTTTCTAAGAATATGATCATTCAATTGTGCATTTTCATAAGGCTCTATGAATCCCCAACACTAAACTGTTTATGGCCAGACTTACCTTCCTGTTTGTTTACTTTTGTTCTAATTTGTTTGAAACAGACTATACAGTCATATTTTAAATTAATAATATTTAGTGGGAAAGGATAGCGATTGAAACTTACATTTTCTCTTCCTGCACTACCACACAGGAAACAAAGCCTCGCAACCGTAAATGGTGCTGTGCCAATGAGGCCAAAACCTGAACTGCAAACTTCATCAGGATCATAACTTTCCCAAAAATCAACACAGATTAAATCAGGATGATTTTGCCCACACTTCTGTGTTCTCCCGCGAATCTGAAAATAAAAGAAAATCATAGAGATAAAACTTTCAACATACATTCTAATGTCCTTCTATTCAAATTCAACAGTTTATAAGGAAGGATAATACTAATATTGACAAGTATAGCAAAAAGAGTGAAAATTACTAGCAATTGCAAAATAAAAGAATATAATTTTAGATGAGCACTTACATTTGTGATATTAGTAAGAATTTTCAATGTTGTCTTCCTTGGCACAAGATCAATCACAGTTTCATCTTCACTAGACTCAGCTTTGGTCTGTGATTTCACTGGAGTGTTTGTCTCAATTTTTCTCTTTTTCACTTCAACTTGCAATTCCGTATCACTCTCCTTCACTCTAGGAGGTTCTAACACTACCTGAGGTTCAATTTCCGGAGCTTTGTTCTCAGATTCAGCTTCAGATTCACAACTTGAAACATCGAGGGCCTCTTTTTCAATAGTAGGTACACCATCTTCAGCAGCCAATGGGATCTTATCCTGCTTTTCTTTCTCTTCTTGAGTAGGAAATGTTGCTATTGGTTGCCCTAAAACTATTGATGCACTGCGACAAACATGCTTTACTCTTGGACCTTTCAGTTCCACTTTCTGTCGTTTGGGATCCTCAATTTGCTTGGATTCATTTTTCTCTTTCTTTCTGACTTTCACCCTTGTAAGTCGACGTTTTTTGTTGGAATTAAAGTCATCTGTTACTTTTTGTTCTTCTTCTGGTGGCTCTTTATTCACTTTCTCCTAGAAAATAAAATTGAGAGCATTAAATTGATTAATATACCAAATTTGTTAACTGTATTCATTATAATACATTATAATACATCAAAAAAACATTAATATAATCTTTTCTACCTACCTCAACTTTCTCAATTTCTTCAACTGGCTTTTTAGATGATTTCATTGTACCAAATAGCTTATTTTCATTGTCAGGCAAAGTGAAAACAGAAGGTTTTTCTGGTACAGCAGTGTTTGAACATATCCTTAGAGGGTTAGCTTGTGTCAAAGGCAATGGCCCTGGAGAAATAACACCTCTCATGTATGGCGGCAATAATGCTGTAAGACCAGTTCTAATGCTGGGTGGTACTTGGAATGCCTTCAAACACAATTTCAACCAACATGCTGGGCAACGAGCTCTATTAGTGCATCGCAATAACTTCCACTGTTGTGACCTTACTATTGGTGGTACCTGGCAATTTCCTGAAACAGAAATATGCAAAAATATAAATGATTATTTTAATATGTATTATTTTGATATTTAGTGCTTTTGATATTGATTTTTCTAACCTTCTCCTTTTAAGCATTGCATTACTATGGGGCCTGTCCGATGGGATAGTTTTTCCTTCTTCAACATCTTTGATATAAATTTGCGACAAGACTCACAAGAGTAAATTCCAAACTTCCTTGCTTGCTTCACAAACCTATAGAATCTTACTGCTCCACAAACACCACATGTCACAGTTGTTGGAGGATTATTAGCTGGAAATTAATATTGGTTTATTAATATGTAACTTTGATCAACAATACAGTAATCTAGATTACAAAATAAAAATATAACTCACTTGATAGTGATGTAAGTGTAGAAAATGGTCCATCTAATCCAGTTGTGGACAAAGCTGGTGAGCTCAGTTGTAGCCTAGCTTCTCTAATAATCACCTTACCGCTCAAAAGTTGTGATGCTGGAGACTTTTCTTTTTCAGGGCTTGGTGCATTTTGTTTATCTTCTTCATCACCAGTTCCTTCAGCACTGTCACTTTCAAAACTATCCTCAGATTCTGAACCACTACTTGTGCTGCTTGAGCTACTGGCATCTGATATATCCATTAATTTTCTTAAAGCATGACCAGCTCGGTCTTCTTTTGTTTCTGTTGATTTCAGCTTTTCTAATCCTTCTAAATTAGAGTTCTCATCCTGTGAGTGTTCAGGGTCTTTTTCATATGCAAACAAGTCATGCGCAGGTTTTCTAGAAATAACGGTGAGACTAGAGAATGACTTGGATGTTTTATCTTTAAAAAGACTTGATGGTTTCAATGAGCTCTTTTCACTACACTTCACATTATCATTATGTTTTTCAGACTCGTCATCTGGAGACTCATCATCGTTATCACATAAGTTATTAAACACCAATCTTTTGAGTTTAGGCTTTTTAAGTAGTTTACCAGAAGATATACTGCTAGTGATGCCAGACTGTTCTTCACCATCAATGAATCTTTTGTTAGGTTTTATGACTCGAGATGAGTGAGCACTCCTCACTGGTAATACAAATCGGTTACCATTTGCAGTTTCTTTATCTAATGGTGATGTGTTTCTTGGAGGTGGTGAAACACATCGAGATTCATTAAACTGAGAAAATTTGTTCATTGGCTTTGATAGAGGGTTCAAATTTTTTCTCAAGTATCCTTCTTGATGTTCTGATGTAGATTTAGAGCTCAAGTCTGTTAGTTTAGCAGGTTTCAGAATACTTGAATAATCTGTTGTTTTCAATGAAGATCTCTTTTTTATAATAGGTACAAGAGGGGCATGATGTTTTGGGATCTTCTTAAGTGGCAGGAATATATCCTCACAACTCTCTACAGTGCCAAATGTGACAGTTTTCTTCACTGGTTTTGGTTTTTCGCCTTTAGCTGGTTCCATTTTGTTTTGTGATCTTGTTCGCACTGGGGATTTTGATGAATCAGGATTGTTTTTATCTTGATTATTAGTATCTTGGTTCAAAGTTACTTTATTTTCACTGGGTTCATTTGGTTCCTTCTCATTATTATTTTCTTTCTTTTCCTCCTCCTAAAATTAAATGAAGTGATAAGCTAGACATCCGTTGAAAAAAAGTCATGACACATGGTGAATACCATTGCACATGGATACATGTCTTAAATAACCTGTGCATACATTTATGCAGCAGGTAAATAATTAACAGATAGGTTATGTAATTTACAAAATTAAAATATTATGTATAAACCAAGATTCTCAATTCCAATTCTTTAAAGATTAAATTCAAGGATATAGGTAAGTAAATATATTTTCTCATTTCAAGTAAAGATTTAATCATAAATTGATGAATATTCATATCTTTTTTAGTATCAAGATTTGAGCAATAATGGTTTTAGCACAATTGTTCTTTGTTTGTAATGGTTTCAAAACATTGTACACATTGACAGGTTATGGAGCTATGTGAAAGTAATACCCTACTGTTTGTTTTTCAGATATTAATTTTATCTATTTTTATCCACTCTGATCTCTAAATCTATTTGTTTGTTGACATAGAATATAATGGTGATCTCAAAGTCGGGAGGTACCTTAACGAAATATACTATTTGACGTTTATTATCTGGCACATCATACTAGCTAGCATACATAGTTATTACGTAAATACGGAATTTCCGCGAAATTATTATAGTTAAGAGAGACATTTAGTTCTAAATCGAAGCTGACTTGATTTACCTCTTTCTCCCCGATAAAATCATTTGTAGACCCGCCGCGGGCAGGCGGGTGATTCTCTGGAGCATTCTCATGGTAAACAGTACCCGACAGCACACTAATACGCTTTCTGTTTTGAAATTTTAATGGTTTTCCAGGGAATCTCGACCTTCCCATTTTGATTTACACGTATACGAAGGACACTCAGTGCGTTTTTAGCAAACACGAAGAAACTGGCGCGCATGCTCCGGCCCGCGCGCTCCGCAACGCCATTTCACTCATTTATGCAATGTATACACCAAAATTACGACGCAGTTTTCATCACTAGTTCATCCAAATACAAACACTAACACCATCCTTCACATTAACTAGTTAATTAATTACTTAGCACTCTTTTTGCAAAAGGTAGCATCATCCATCATTTTATTGGTAACTGGTTAATAACGCGTAGTCGTAACGCTTCCATTCAACGAAGCGTCATGCATGCTACTATTGAAACAAAAGAGAATGTAGAAAATGCACACGATTCCTCAGCATGAAACGTTTGTAACACAATTAACGCGTTTTGTTCCATTTGATTAAAATAAACAAACTGAAATATTGTAATTAAATCGCCCGTAATATGACAAAGATGGCTGTACAATAGCGAACAAGAGTGATTAACGAGACGAGGCGCGAGGCCGCGGTGTGAACGACACCTGGCTCTCAGAGGCCAGTTATGGATTTTGAACCAATCGCGACGTTAATTCGGACCGGTATGAAAACAAACATGTCGTTTGCTACTTCTTGCTTGGCTTTGTTCGCACATCATAATCTATGAGCAGTGAGCACGCATTGATTCATTTAGATACTATGTCAATAAATACCTATACGTTTATGATTTGCGCAAGAAGCGTTAGGTACATGCAATATTTATATCTCATCTACGTATTTACTTTTGGTTTTAAATTCGTTATTTTGATACATAGGTTTTTAGTTACGTTGTCAGTATCACATACCTATTAGGATACTAATGATTTGTTATTTCAGACAGTACCTACCTACTTTATACATTAGAACTATCATAATTATATTTTAATGTCATAGAGCAGTTAAAATAGGTAGATAGTACTTTAGTTCTTTGAACAAAAACAATGTTAAATTTTTTATCTTTACAAGTAGCTACTTAGGTACCTACTTATTTCCTTTACGTAAAATGCAAATAATAGTATTAATTAATACCTAAGTACAATTATTATTCTAATGAAACATGGAAACCTTAAGTATTATCATCAATAACACATGAGTAAATAATATCACTACTAAATGCTTCATCAATCAAGAGAAAGAAAAAGATAGCATCCGGAGATCCGGAAAAGAAAAGGAGGCCTTTACGGAGTTGTGTTTTATTTATGTCATGTAGCATTATAAGTGCCTAGATAATTACCATTTAGTACATAATTTAAATACTAACGGGAGACCCCGGTCTTATAGTTTACACGACCCTTATTTAAGTAAGTATACGTAAGCTTGTATAGTACCCGCACCCTACCGTATACAATACAACACGGAGAACCCCAAAACTCTCGGTCGATCATGCGTAAAGGGCGGAGAAGGGATGCTAAAGGGACGTATTGTCGGTGATTGAACCCTTACATACACATTCATACTTAACTATAACAGATAAATTCAATCAAAAAGATAATTTTGTACTTTCTTAGTGATAACGTACTGACCTCTAGCGTGAGTTATGAGAACCAAAAGTTCCTTGCTGAAACGCTTCCTGAAATAGGTATATTTAGGACGGGCGGCATTTCCTTGGTCTTGGATCGAAGCGAGGCAATTCAGAAGCACTGACAACTATTTAGAGCTAAGATTCACTTTAAAACCATATTTTTATTTACAATTTCACTATCACTTCACTCAAACATAATAAAGACGTTTAAAAAATAACAAACTGTGTGTAAATATTATGGTATGAGTAATATTTACATCAGTTTCGTTGCACTGGTGTTCGTGCGTGAAAATGTAGTAGCGAGACTGGCGGAGAGACGCCGCGCATGCCGCAAGGGACACGATGTAAATATAAAAATGGATAAACTCCCCTTCTGGGGGCTCACCCGTATGAATCACCGTAATCCACGCACTACTCTGGTTCTTGATAAAGTTTTGTAGAGGGTTCGTAAAATGCCGTATGCATTTTGTCCGGATATTGCAACTGTAAACAATCTTGCGGTTTGAAATTAAGCAGTATCCAATTATTATGCAAATTTGCGTGTAGCACTTAGCAAAATATTGATCGACACGACTCCCGTCGTCAGGGGATATTTTTCACTGAGCCGGATTTTAGAAAAAAAGTATAATCACTGTGGATCAGCCGTTTTACCTAAATCTGACCCACTCCCACGTAGCAGGTAGATATTTTTTTTGGTTGGGTCGCATGTCGCATACTACGGTACGGATATTATGGGTAGGTAAATTAAATGATTCATACTTATAATAAAATCTCTGCAGTGGGCGTCGTATGGCTGAATGATGATGTTGATAAACAAAATCCATGATTTGCCTTTTCAATTAATTTGATGCACTAATATGTGTTGTAAAATTAATTAAATATTTCTAGATGACCTGGCGAACTTCATACCGCCACATTTTTGCTCGTTTTTGGTTTAATTTTCTTTTATACACCCTGTCCTAAAAATCCATCATACACAACGTAACACAACAGAAAAGCAATCCAATTTGGTGCAGTCGTTCGGAAGTTACGCGCGGACATACATTTCGGCAATTCATTTGTTATTTAAGTATCTATATGTTTTATTATATAAACAATAGGAATTTATTAGGATTATTACCGTCTTCTTTGGATTTTATACAAAATAATATACTTATTTTAAAAACCACTGTCTCTTATAAACTTTTAAGGATTCTTTTACACCACTTTTTTATTCTTATAGCTCCATTCTATAAGAATTAAAAAGTAGTGTAATTAATGTCCTTGATATTATTTATTTTACCGTTTTTCTTGTGTACTGGCTGTGCTTTTTATAATTACCTTCCGCTCGAGTGCTTTCAAAACTCAAAGCTCATTAAATATTATTTCAAGATAGCTTAGGCAGTTGTTGTTGGTGTCTTTTAATGTGTTTACGCAAACAATGTAGGTATGTGTAAAGTAACTACGGAACCCTACACTACACGAAACCCGACATAATATGCAAGCATAATTTAGTTGGTATTGATGACGAATCAAAATAAAAGAAGTGGTAATCAGCACACGTAACAGCATCGAAGATTCAGATAATATAATGTTCTTTTTTTGAAAGTTTTAATTCATGTTGAAGCATCTTCAGTAATTTCAGCATTCATTCTCGCCAGAGGGCGCGTGCACTGAATTATTGTCGTTGGAGCCCACTTTTGATTCCCAGATTAATATTTTTGAAGTTATGGATTAAAGCAGAACAATAACTACAAAGACGAAGAAGTATGTACGCCGGGTTTCATGGTGTCGCCGACATGAGAAGTCCCGGGTTCGAATCCCGGTGGGGGCAGATTCTTGTGTGATGTATACGAGCATTTGTACTCCAGTCATGGATGTTTAATATGTATTTCTATATAAATATACTTATATATGTACTGTATATGTATTCTATCCGTTACTCTAGTATCCCATAACACCATCCTTACAGCGCTTACTTTGGGGCTAGGCTAATTGGTGTGAGTGTTGGAAATATTTATTATATATATTATTTATCTTGACTGTCTCAATGGAAGATGCTAGCATGTACAGTAAAGAATGAAACAATTCGAATGAAAGAAAAATGCTTTACTCCAAGTAGGTAATCAAACTGCGACTAAAGAAAAAAACGAATGGATTAACTATATCTAGTAGCGGCGATGGGGGGGGGGGGGGGGGGGGGTATTGGTAGTAGCGACTAGCGAGAGAAGAGCGCCCGATCGTCTACTTTTTCTCGCTTGTCGCGGAAACTGTTCTGGGCGGATGCCTGCTTCAGTTGTGGCGGTTTCGCATCCCATCACCAGGACGAGATGGTCCTGGGGGTCCGTCCTCCCCCACTCTTCACACACCGCCCTCAGCACGGTCAAGCCCACCGGGTGAGACCCATAAGGGAGGCCCAGTGAACGACCTGCGAGCAGGCGGCGGATTTAAGTGAGGGGGAATAAGTACAGTCGGCTACACGGGCCGAAAGTCTATAGACCCGATCCATAAATCGTCTCGTTAACAAGCACCCTTCCTCACACACTAAGCTTATTCTTGTTCATTACATCACAGCCACTTAATCCAATTTTATTATAATGAAACAAACAGTCGATATTCGTCACTCTTCATTCCAACTTGCGAATGACATCAGGGCCGGTTTTAGTCCTACCAGCGCCCTGGGCGAGATTTCTGAGGCGCCCCCTAACTGTAATTCAAACCCATACGAAAAATGGCAAAAGATATAATCAAACTACCTTTTAATAAATTTTTACTTTTCTATAGGCGAAAATCCTTTCCTAAAGTTATCAAAATCGATGTTTTCTGGAAATTTACGCTGTCCACGGGATCCATAATATTCTTCACCGTCACCACATCTCAAATGTCTATTAATTTGTTTCCAACACGTACATTAATAACGAGCAGACAAGCTTGGGCAGCCCCTTATCCCACCTTTAGGGGTAGTTTAGACAAACCAAAAAATGACAAACCTTATAATTTATTTAGATAAGTATTCGTACCACGTTTTAAGTCTATTAACTTAAAGAATAAGATTTCTCATACAAACTTTAATCGCCTTTTCCCCCCTTAGGGATAGTTTTTCGAAAAACCCTGTTAGACGTTATTCTTTATTTCAGGTCTTCTGTAAAAATATCAAGTTTGAGATAATCGAAATGAGCGTTAAAATTCATCCTTATAAGTCTTTGACACCCTCCCAATCCCCTTTTAGGGGGTAGTATAGGAAAACTAAAAATGACAAATATTATAATTAATTTACATACCTAAGTATTCGTGCCAAGTTTCAAGTTTATTAACAATTCAAGTAATTACCATTGGGGGGTGAGTTTTGAAATATCGACCGCTGGGAGACCAATCATTCATCTAGGGCTACGCGATCATTCCCACGGATCTCCGTGGGTCATCCAATGTACTTTTAGGACAGATTTTGGCCAAGATATGGTCGTGTTGTTGTATCTCGGGTTCTAAATATCGTAGCATTTAGACCTCCATTTTTTTTGGATAGATCGTTCGAATCAGCCGAATCGATTTATTAAAAAACCTAGATACTTTTCCAAAGAAAACACTGAATGTCATCTAGCAAGTGTGACATGGGGGGAATGGATCCAAAAATTTTAAATATTGTTTTCAAGTCTATAGTTAGAAGTCATTACGACTACGGACTAACAATCTATCGGAAATATCGTTCTTCAACGTTGTATAGTAAAATAGATGTATTTTTTTTATGCATAATAGGCAATGCGTTTGACCAGAATCTCACCTGGAAAGTGATGATGAGGCCTAGGATGGTACACGCCTGCCTAGAAGATGCCTGTTCACTCTGGAAAATAGACCTCGGCAAGGAGTTCCACTCCCTAGCCGTTCGCATAATGAAGGCTGAAGCAAATCGCTTCGTGCGAATGGGAGGAACTTCGACAACATAAGGGTGGAAGCCCGCGCCACGCCTGGTCGTCCGGTGGTGGAAAGGGGAAGGGGGGGTCAAATTATGTAATACCTCCGCACACTCTCCGAAATGTAACCGATAAAACACCGAGAGGCAAGCTA